AAATGTTGGGCATCAGTATGTGTTGGATTTAGTTCATAAATTTCAAGAAACTGGAAGTGTGTGCAATAAAACTGTAAGGAATCGTAGAGTTTTAACTGAAGCTGCACAAGTTGAGATTTTAGGTCATTTTGCCATGGAACCTCAAACATCAATACCAAAAGTCCCCAGATTAACAAATATTTCCGTTGGCTCTGTGCATAAAACGTTACGGCTAAATAAATTATTTCCTTACAAAATACAGCTTTTACAACAGCTTGCTGAGGATGATTATGACAGAAGATTAGAATTTTGCGAATTAATGACTCAAAGGGCAAATGAAGACCATAATTTTATTAAAAATATTTGTTTTACTGACGAGGCAGGTTTCTTTTTAAATGGATTTGTCAATAAACATAATTGTAGGTACTGGGACAATATGAATCCACATGTTTTTCGGGAAGAGCACAGCCAATATCCTCAGAAAATCAAATGGGCCGGAATTCTTGGTAATAAAATTATTGGTCCTATTTTCATGGAGGAAAATTTAACTGGGGAATTGTATTTGAACTTATTAGAAAATCTGATAAATCCTTAGAAAACCAAATAGATCAAGATGGAAATTTGTTACTAGACGAAGAAAACCTATTTTTTCAACAGGACGGAGCACCTCCACATTATGCCTTGCCTGTACGAAATTGGCTTAATGAGACATTTCCAGATAAATGGATCGGAAGAAGGGGCGCTATAGAATGCCCAGCGAGATTACCCGACCTAACGCCCCTTGACTTTTTTTTATGGGGACATCTAAAAACTGTGGTGTATAAAACTCAACCTCGCGATATTCCTCAACTTAGACGTAGAATAGTGGAGGAGTGTGAGCGGATTACACCAGAGACGCTTCAAAAAGTGCGGGATGAATTCGAGCTGCGACTTTACCATTGCCTTGCCAACAATGGCGGACATTTTGAACATCTTATTTAAGTACAATGTAATTCTTACGCAAATAAAATATTAATAATGTAAATACAATGTAAATAATAATTATTTTAATTTAAAAGGTTAAAATGGCATAACTTGGTGAAAAATTAATCCGATTTAAAAAAATAATGTGTCAAAAGATTGGAAAAAGTGACCTTTAAGAAGAGCTATCACATGATACCCCTTTCTATTTAAAATTTTAGAAGTGATATTCACCACCGCTTAGGGGATGAAACTGCACGGTTACAGATACTTGTAAAATGTGTCCCCCCGTAAATATAAATTAACGTGTTTTTTTGTTTTAAAGATATTTTAAAAGTTATTTTGGGTGGCTAGTTTTGAAATGAAATTCCTGTATATAAGATTAATAACGGACAGAAGGATATGAGTATTGCAACTATGTTAAAAGAAATAAATTGGCTTTCAGTTCACAATTATGTTCAGTATGTGACTGATATTTATTTATAAAATAAAAATGACATATAATACCATCGCATCAATGAAAAAATTCAATATAATTTGCAATATCATAATACAAGAAGCCAATCTGACTTTCATGTACGGCAAGCCATCACTAAAAGTTCCCAAAATACAATTTTTATTAAAGGTTTAAAAAATTTTATAGACTACCTACAGAAATAAAAAAAAAACAATAAATGTATTCAAAAGTAACAAAACTACTATTTTCTACACTCACATGGATATTAGTTTATTTACGCACAAACTACAAAATGAAAGAGTTTGCTATTGCGTTCAACCGAACGAATATATTTCATATCAATTCTAGGTAGTGAGAACTAGTATTTTTTATTTTGCACAAACTACTATTACTGAGGCCCTTCCTATGGGGCCTCAGTATTGCATTCTTGCAAACGAAAAAATTTTCTTACCCCCATTTTTTAAAACTTTTTTTCATGTTTCCGATCATTCTGAGTCCGAAAATGCAAAAAAAATGTTTCGTCTGGTCGTCTGTGTGTATGTATGCCGACAAGATAACTCTAGAACGAAAGTTCTGATTGACTTGAATAATTACTTCTAACTTAGAACCCTATTGATTTTCAGAATTTTCGGTTCATCCTAACAACTTTAATATCAATTTCCTTAAAATCCGCCTATGCATTCCTTATGTGACACTTTTAGGAATTCAAATTAATTCTAACGTAAAAATTCCTAACATTCTTTACATTCCATAAATTGCAAACATTCTCTAACGACCTGTCAAATAACAGCTGTTGATAGTAAAGGTGAAATTTCTAAGGCGGGTTGCGACTTTTATACTTGCAACCATAGCCATTTTGGAGGCTATTTTCATTCGAAGCCTGCCAATTTATGAAAAATATGTAAGCAGTTTCTTAAAAATGACTTTTTTATGGTGGTGCTATATTAAGCGTACTACTATTTCGCCCCTAGTCACAAAAACACCTTCATGAAATTTACTGGTTCTCTGTCGCAACCCCATAGAATTATTAACCGGCCATTTTATTTGGCAAAAATCAGAATAATACTTGGCTGTGCCTGTTAAGTATCCAGATGTCAACTGTGATATGTGAATGGCTCTTAAATGTCAAATTATTTAAAAATGTATACTTCTTTTGATATTTATTGCAAATAATTTGTAGTGTATCTCAATTCAGGCTTTCCATAAATAAAGGTACAGCAAGACAGATAATATAATGTTCTTATACAAAGCACTTTTTTATTATATAAAAGAGAGGTAGGATATAATGCCCATTTTAAATTTGGATCAATTATGATACCGAGGTATTTTGTTGTGTTTTTCATTTTAATTATAAAGTTGTCATTTAATTGTATGTTAAAAGAAGGCCTTTGTAGATTACATTGCTTTCTATGGATCTACTTTAACACAAAAATAGTTTTGTGGCTATAAGTTGCTATAACCTATCGTCGCAAAACTATTAATAATTTAACCATAGTAAGTAGTATTAATATAATATTAAGTAATTTTTTAAAATAAATTACATGATCTCAAAACAAATAATCTATAGTAAATGCGGATAAAACGAGGGGTAAAATAACAATAAATTAAGGGAAATACTTAAAAAAATTAATATCACAAGAAAGTATATCCGTTCTGTTTATTTATCAAGTATTGTTTGAAGTTACTTTTGAATACATTTATTGTTTTTTTTTCTTTGTTGCAATACTCATCCTTCTAACCTTTATTAATAGAATATAAATAGGCGAAGTAAGAAGCCCAAATATTTTACATGAGCAGGCTTAAGAGGTAAAGGGGCCAATTATTATTGGATAAATTGCTAGAACAAGTTTTTAAACCTAATCAAAAGGCGATATAGAATGGTTTTAAAAATCAAGGCTTGTGAAAATCATCACATGGTTTAACCTAAGTAATGCCAATGCTTCACAAACCAAAAAATTAAACGTGCTACTACTATCGGCTTTCGGTATTTTGTTCCAAGTTAAATAATTTCTCATTTTTGTTACGCTACGAGTTTACCCTTGTGGGCCTCAGTCTCGATAAGGTGGGAACCACCATTTTAGCGTCTCTCGAATTTATTAAAAAAAATTTAAATTATAGTGTTTTTTTTTTCTCTGAAGCTATTGGTTTTGGGAAAAAATTTAAGAATAAAAAAAATTTAAAATAAAACAAGGATTTCAAGTTATACTTTTATTTCATAAAACTTCATCTCGAAAAAAAGTTGTGATATGAAATAAAGTAAGGGTTGCTAATTTCACTCCCCTATAATGTAACAAGAATATTAAAAAAATACCCGTGGTTAGTACTTTGCGATTGCACGAAAATTACAGAATTTCAAGTTTCTAGCTTTACTGAAATTTAAAAAAAAAAAAAAAAAAACTTAATTTTAGTCACCACTTTTTAAGGGTGATATCTCGAAAAGGGGTGGGCTGAGGAAATTTTGTTCTAGGAAAGACCCATCTTAATTTCATACGAGCAATCACTTCCTGAATTTTGTCGCATGAATTTAGAAACACCCTGTATATATTAAAATGAGTTATTTTTGTGTAGAATCGATAAATAATAGCATTTTTATTTTTATTTATTTCCTAGTTAATTATGGATCTTGATACATTCATTGTATAATTTTAGTTGTAATAACATCCATAATAATCCATTTTGATGTATATTTATATTATTTCTTTATTCTATATTAATTATTGTAAGTATACAACACCAATTAAAGTACTTCCCCTAATATTTATTTGTTTTATTTGTATATTACAAAAACCTGATGATGACCTTAATAAACCGAAACTAGTCTCATCTGTTCTCCTATTATCAATAAATATGTGGTACAATTTTCGAGTTTTACTCTTTCGTTATATTTGATATCATGGATATTTAATTCTTAAATAACATTGTATTTTTGGAAAAAATAATTCGAATTAGAAAAAACATCGTTTTGTAATCGGTTATAATTTAAGCAATATTATTTTATCTGCTTCGAAAATTTGTTTAGTATAAAAAAACCTGCGAATCTAGTTAGTTGAAGAAGTAGGTTCAATTATAGGAATTTAAACCGCTTCTGGATACATTACATGTAATTTCTAATTCAAAAATTGCCCAGACACCAATGCCTATTTATTTTTTAATCAGTAGCGTATAAAATGGATCATAAATAATAAAATTCCGACAAGCAGGCATCCCTAAATATGTAATTAATCAATTTATCCTTGCCGATGATTCTTCCTTATCTTTATCTGCATAAAAAATATGTACTATCAAGTTTAAATTACCTTAAATTTTGTAAAAACTCGTAAACTTATTTTTGTATCAAATACATTTATTATTATTTGTAAAAGAATCACTGCAGGGATGATATATTGGCTGCTGAAATAAAAAGTAAACACTTTTCTTTAACAAACAACCCACTAATCTCTTACAAAAACAATGCAATTTATAAATAAACCGGAAACATATGTTATCCCTTTTATAGGAAACGATTTTTATCCCCGTTTACGCCTTGTAATAGCAACAGTTGTCATCCAACAAAAACAAACTCCACTAAATACCAAACTAAACACAGTAAACATATAGAACTTACCTAACACACACACAAATATAATTTAATTAAACTATCGATCAACGCCTTTCCGATAAAACTTCACGATTTTTCTGTAACTGGAATGCCGGGAAGCGACGTCGGAACGTGGTGTATGTCATATAGGTGCGTCGGTCGAGAGGAACTTGGTTTGGTGAATGTCTGTCCGCAAGCGTGAATCGGGATACTTTGAAAACCGTAAAACTTTCAGTTCCAGCGGCAAGTCGGCATCGACCCATCCCCCTCCGTGGGCGATGCCGGAGATGCGCCTCAAAGAATGAACAGTTTTTTTTTATTTTATTTATTTAAAAAAAAATTAAACACAATAATAATATAATGAATGGAATAAATTATTATTACTTTTTTTTAATACTGACGAAGGTAGATGTGAAATAAGTATTTACATACATGGGCGTAGCCAAACTTTATTCAGGAGGGGAGGGGGCAACATGGGATTTGAGGTGATCGAATTTTACTAAAAATAATTGATAATGTAGGGTGAGATTACAGAACGTCTGCAACTTTGCAAATATGGCGGACTTACAAATGTAAGTATTCCAAAAAATATCTGCAAATTCGCAATATTTATTGTGGTTTATTACCCCCAACAACACTAAACCCAAATTTGGAATACGAAAACTTGATACTTGCATGTGTAAGTCAGTCATATTTGCAGATTTTCAAAGTTGCCGCCATATTTGCAGATCTGCAAAGTTGCAGACGTTCTGTAATCTCACCCTAAGATTACAAATAAATTCGAAAACCGAAACTAAACCAAAACCGGTTATAAGAAAGTGACAAGAAATAAAAGTGAAAATTTTATTTTATTAAGGATTTGAAGATGCAATACAAAATATCGAATACAAAGTCTACAATAAATTTAACCTTCTTGTTTTCTTTTTAGCGAATTTTTTCCTCGAAGTTTTGGTCGTTGAATGCTAGTTTTCTTTGTAGACTGATCATGCACAGTCCCAGTGGCGTGAGGTGACATTTCTGGAAGGGGAAGCGATTGTATAAAAATACAGCAGGCCAGGAAGCACAGCGCCGCAGACGAAAAATTTTCGCGGCGCATTCACCATTTTGTCAAAATCTTGCTTTTTTCCTCAGTACTACGGATATTCGAGATTGAGATTTTTAAAGTGTTACTTTATTACCTAGTTTAGTACTAGAAGCCATAAAAAAACATACCATTGAAAAGCTTCCTTGGTTTATTTAAAAGTAAAAAAAACATTTAACTGAAGTTTTTTTATTTTTTCCAGAATTTTTCGCACAGTTGACACAGCAGTTGACATTTATTTATACTTAAGATCTATTCGCCTATCCTCAATGGTTGCAAATTTGTCTATAACATCGTCGTAAAATTTTGGATTTTCTGATAACTGTTAACAAGCTGTTTTTCAATGGATGTTAGGGCTAAATTAGAGAGTCTGTCTTCATTTGTGTAGCGGCTTATTTTCAGTACAGAACAGGTGCTTTCGAAGCTGATCGACTTTGGAGAATCCTGTAGTTACATCATTGATGTAAAGTTTTCAAGAAGTGCTTGAATGTGACTTGAAATGTGGTCATTCGGAAAAGACATAAAAATAAATGCGTCGGTTGCTGACTCACATGACATCCATGTTTTCCATGCTGCTTTTTTTCCTTTTCCGACAAAGGACACATTGTCACACCCAGTAAAGGCATGAAAGCCCCTGAGGCCTACACACCTTTCTCTTCCTAGCGGGATAGCGATTTTGTGAGCTGCAATATATCGTAGATTCTTCCCCGACCCAAATAAAAACCATAGTTCTTCTAAACCCATAGCCTGGAGCTCATAAAAAGATGACACACACAAAACAACAACATCAGTGTCAACAGTTTGAACTAAATATTTTTGGCTCCAAGTCTGACCATGTCCGAAACATGCAACAAAATGCGTCCTCTTCCCATTTTAAACACAATTTTCCGGCTAATGCAGACTCACAATTCTTTGTATAACCAACAAATATCATCAACATTCGTAACAATTTCCAAATTGTCGTCTGATTGTAGAAGGTTTTTGGCCAGGAGCGCCAATAGTTCGCTTTTATTGTCAGAATTGCCCAAAAAATCGCTCCCTTTTTTCGGCAGAAGACCTAAAACATAATAAGAGAACCTGTGATAAAAGTATTACGACTTAATGACAGCCTTACCTTTAGCTAACACTTGTCTCCGCACCCCTGTTCCCCTCTTCTCACGAGCCTTTTTGATGGTGTCAGTGTTGTAAAGGTCCCATACCAAGTCTACCCTCTTACAATTTAGCGAAGATGATTTGCTTTTTATATATAGATAAAATTCCAAATAAAAATACTATACAAAAGTATTGAATGATATAGTTCATAGACGATTACCACGCTCATCACAAACGAGATGGAATTTCCAATCATGGGAAGTTAATACAGTTTATGAATACCGAAATGAACTGATACATGTTATGGATATTTTAGAGAACGACAAAGATATTAAATTCAATTCTACGATTGAGCAAGCCGGTGCTTATAAACTCAGATTACAAGACAGAGATTTCATATTTTGGTTAACAGTTTTTTATAAAGTCATGCCACATGTCGAAATAATTTTTAAGATTCTGCAGACGATTAATACCGACCATATCAAGGCTAAACAAGATCTAAAAAACTTTGAAAATACAATGTAAAAAATTTGTAAAGAAATGGATAAAATTATTGACAAAATAGACTCTAGAGCTTTTAGAAACCGAAAAGGCGACGTTACCCTCGTTCCGATCTATCTGTTTCAACAAATAGAAAAATAGAAGCCTTGGAGGTTTGCGATTCCATTATACAACAGATTAGGACACGATTCACTTTCACAAGACATCTGATAACTACTTCATTATTCATGAAAGAACACTTTATCGAATACCAAAAAAACTTTCCTGATCAATTGCTCTCTGATACAGTTAACACATATCAATTTCTAGAAAAAAATCGTCTAAAAATAGAACTGCAAGTACTTTACGAAAGAGAAGAGTTGCAAACCATTTCTGGAGCCATTCCTCTGTTATTAGTTTCGCAGGAAGATATGAAGTACACTTTTCAAGAAACTATTAAATTACTGACGGCCCTATGCACCATTCTCCAGTTAAGTCCTCTCTGTTATCTAACAATAGTATAAAAAATAACAGTGTGTTTACAGAATTTGCTATGCATCATCTATTTACTGTCCATTTTTTATAAAACCTCTTCTAGCCCTTCAAAACAAACAAGCAAAATTATAACAGTCTGATAAGTAAAATTAACAGGCCAAATTTGGTTTGTTATATTAACAACGCCTTTAACAGATTGTTGTATTTTTTAATGGTGAATACAAAATTGTCAATTTAACAGTCAGTTATGTAGTTAACTCTCTGATAACTATTAACAGTAGAATGGTGCATATGACCGTGAAAGTTTTAGTGACAACACCTGTCAACATCCGAAGCTGAAAGATGTTTCTCTATGTTAAAGAGGATAAAAACATTTTTACGCAACTCAATGAAAGAAGAAAGACTAAGTGCGCTAGGAATGAGGAATGTTATCAGCTGAAAAAGTGTTTCTAAATAACATTGACGAATTATTTATTGTTTCGGCCTTTACTTGATGAAAATCCATTTAATTTTGAAAGAGTAAAACCAAATTTGGTAGATTCTCACTTTTATTTTAAAAATAAAAATTTTTTAAACAAACACTAACATGACATATGTTTCGAAGTACAACTTCTTTTTCAAATGTGACTATTTACAATTCGGTATCCAATATATATACGAAATAATTTAACAAAACAAAGTACTTAAGAAAACATCAATAACATTACAAAATAAACTAACTATTTAAAGTAAATAAGGGTACTTAGGTAATTATAATATCCATCAAATAACAATAAGATAGCCCATTACCGGGATTATCTCACAGAAAACTGGGAAAGAGGTTTAATAAGGGTGAATTATTAATATCTAATTGATCATTTAGTAAGTTATCTGAATTTTTAAATCTATTTATTTCAAGTGTTTCTAAATGGTTTAATTTAAGGCTCTTATTTTCTACATGTAAAATTTCAAAGTTGTCTGTAAAAGAATGATTTTCAGCTAAAATATGATTTGAGTAAGTAGAATTATTTTTGTTTTTTGTATAGCTATTATAATGTTCGGAATAGCGTTTTTTGAAAGTACGGCCTGTTTGACCAATATACAATTTTGGACAACTACCACAATTTAATTTATATACCCCCGATTTATTATTAGGATTAATTTTACCCTTATTGTTTTTAATATACTTCCCAAGCGTATTATTGGTTTTAAAAGCTACGTTAATATTTTGGTTTTTTAAATATGATGATACCTTTTCACTAGGAGCTCCTATATATGTAAGACTCTTAATCTGCAATTTGGATCTTTAATTATGGGATAAACTTGTTGAATAGCCTGTTTAAAAAGTGTTTTCTCTAAAATGTTGTCTACTAACTTTGAATTAAAATTATTATTTACTGCGATTTGTTTAATGATATTTAATTCTTTTGTAAAGTTCTCTTTGGTAAGGGGAATATTAACTAATCTATGGATCATCCGATATTTTATTTGTGTTCTGTTCTGATTTTTGTTTAGTTATTATGGATTTTTTTAATTTTTGATTCTAGAGAAAAATTCAAACTAATACAAATGAACCCTCAACCACCACAACTTTATTCTTTAATAAAATTACACAAAGAGAACTATCCTATTAGACCAGTTGTGTCATTTGTCACGGCTCCATCAGTTAAACTTTCACACACATTAATTAAACTTATACAAGAAAACTGCAAATTCAATTCAAAGTATAGTGTAAAAAATTCTTATGAATTAACAGAAAAATTAAAAAACATTAAATTACCTAGTAACACAAAATTAGTATCGTTCGATGTTAAAGAAACAGTTAAGCTAGTAGAAAACTTATTAGATCGTAATCAAGTCAATATTATAATCAAAGAAGAAATCCTAAATTTGTTAAACATTTGCCTAAAACAAAATTATTTTCAATTTCAAAATAACATCTACTCAGCAAATGAAGGTCTTATTATGGGGAACCCATTAAGCCCGTTGCTTGCAGAAATATTTATGGATAATATAGAAAATAAAATTCATAGCAATAATTTAAGTAAACATTGTCTGTATTGGCATAGATATGTTGATGATATATTGACTGCTTTTACTGGTACTAGTAGACAGTTAAATTCTTTATTAGTTTTTATCAATACTATACACCCTAATATTAAATTTACTATGGAAACAGAGAAGGATAATTCAATTAATTTTTTAGACTTAAATATTATTAAAAATAATAAAGGCCATAGTTTTGGGATATTTCATAAGCCATCACATACGGATATTACAATAAATATTAGTTCATCTCATCCATACAAACAAAAGCTGGCAGCATACAACAGTATGATCCATAGATTAGTTAATATTCCCCTTACCAAAGAGAACTTTACAAAAGAATTAAATATCATTAAACAAATCGCAGTAAATAATAATTTTAATTCAAAGTTAGTAGACAACATTTTAGAGAAAAAACTTTTTAAACAGGCTATTCAACAAGTTTATCCCATAATTAAAGATCCAAATTGCAGATATAAGAGTCTTACATATATAGGAGCTCCTAGTGAAAAGGTATCATCATATTTAAAAAACCAAAATATTAACGTAGCTTTTAAAACCAATAATACGCTTGGGAAGTATATTAAAAACAATAAGGGTAAAATTAATCCTAATAATAAATCGGGGGTATATAAATTAAATTGTGGTAGTTGTCCAAAATTGTATATTGGTCAAACAGGCCGTACTTTCAAAAAACGCTATTCCGAACATTATAATAGCTATACAAAAAACAAAAATAATTCTACTTACTCAAATCATATTTTAGCTGAAAATCATTCTTTTGTAGACAACTTTGAAATTTTACATGTAGAAAATAAGAGCCTTAAATTAAACCATTTAGAAACACTTGAAATAAATAGATTTAAAAATTCAGATAACTTATTAAATGATCAATTAGATATTAATAATTCACCCTTATTAAACCTCTTTCCCAGTTTTCTGTGAGATAATCCCGGTAATGGGCTATCTTATTGTTATTTGATGGATATTATAATTACCTAAGTACCCTTATTTACTTTAAATAGTTAGTTTATTTTGTAATGTTATTGATGTTTTCTTAAGTACTTTGTTTTGTTAAATTATTTCGTATATATATTGGATACCGAATTGTAAATAGTCACATTTGAAAAAGAAGTTGTACTTCGAAACATATGTCATGTTAGTGTTTGTTTAAAAAAATTTTATTTTTAAAATAAAAGTGTGAAAATCTACCAAATTTGGTTTTACTCTTTCAAAAATAACATTGACGACTTTAATAGACGAGTTATTGACCTTTCCCTCCTATTGCCAACCGGAGGAAAATTTCCCGTTTTGCGGGAATTTTCAAAACAAAAGGGAAAAGTTAACTCAAAACAGGAATTTTTACTTCAGTCCAAATTTTGAAAAATGTATGATTTTAAAAATAAATAAACTTAAAATTGTTAATTCTTTAATACGTTTTTAAAGTTTTGTTAAAATATTTGTTTTTTAGATTATACTTTGTTATGTACGTTCGTTTTTCTTTTACTAATACTTTTTGGAAAATATGTACATGCTTTTTTTTCTGGTATAAACCCGATTTTGTTAACGGGAGGGAATTTTTTCATAAAAGTGGGAATTTTTAAGGTAAGAAGAGGGAAAACGCTTACTTCAAGGTTGGCAACACTGGAGGCATTCATTTAGATTCTTTCACCGCGACTAGTAAATTTTAGACGAAGGTAATTCAGACTCCGATCCCGCTTCGATTTCAATATAATTTCAATCTTTTTCCGATTTACACTATTCATATAGGTAAATAAATTATTTCCATAGATTAATTCAGCCGTGTGTCCCGAAAACCGAGTGAAATCAAAAGGAATCAGTTCATTTTCCGTATTGTTTATATTTTAGTTTTATTCATTTTTTTTTTTTTATTTACAACTTTATCAATATTTTCGAGGCAAATCTGAATTTCATGTGCTAATTTCACATTAGTGTAAAATATTTTTCTTTAATAAATAGAATTTGATTTTTTTTAAAGAATATTTATGCTGAATAAACCGTAAAACTACAACTTGTAAATATTGATTTTGAAAATATTTATACCCGTGTTGTACATAATTTAGTTCCTGTTAGTTTCGTAAATATTAGTTTGAAAAATATTTATACCGGGTGGGTGATTAATTTAGAAGTGGTTTGAACTTCTCCGAATATTTTGTTTAAAAATAATTACTCCGGGTTGCCAAGAAATTAAATGATAGAAGTTTCAGTTTTAATTATTGAATTCTTTTGACTGGGATAACATGAATTTCTTGAACATTCATTAATATGTGATTTGATTCCCGTTCCTTCCCATTCCTGAGTTTTGTGAAATTTTTATGGAACATTGTAATCAGGATCCAAATTTCTTGAGAAAAAAGAAGGACATAATATCCAGTAATTTTATTCTAGCTTTGGATAAATTTGCAGAATTATCCGAAAAATAAACAGCTAAATCAATGATTTTGCATTTACGTCATTGTTCTTCTCTGGCACAATACTTTTTAGATTTATAACACAATATAATACCAAAATTAATTTATTAAAACCCATATTTGCCTACACTTTGCTTTGAGAAGGTAAAATAAGTATTATCGAAAAATAAATGTAATAATAAAAACTTTATTGGTAAAAATAATTACAATTTTATTGTATCCTGGGGAAAATAATGAAGTAGACGACACCATTTGGTTCCAGCAGGATGGCGCTCCACTACATTTTAGTCTGCCAGTAAGGCCATACTTATCTCAGGTATCTTGGTAGACAAGGGCCAATATAGTACTTGATCTTTAGTCCTAACACCACTGGATTTTTTTATGGAATCATTTGAAGTCAGTGGTGTACAAAAATATGCCGGACAATCTTGATATTCTCAAAGAAATAATAATTGACAACAATAATGTAAATATATAGCAGACAAACAACATAAAGTACAAGAATACTTCACTAAAAGTTAAGCAACGTAAGTTGAAGTTAATAATAAAGAAGAGGGGATACCACAGATGAAGTATTCACCTCTAAGACCTTGTTGATAAATAATAAATTACCATCTATAGATCATGAAATATTTAATTTAACGAAACAGAGATAGTGCTTTAAAAAATGAATATTTGTTTATTTTAAGCTTACCTAAACATCGTTTGTAAAATTGTAAAGTATTTTCTTCATTAAATTCTCTCCAGATGTTTATCTTATTATAGATACACAACGAAGAGTAACGCTGTTATTTTAACATTAGTTTTGAACTCTTTTCTTCTTGATTTAAGTTTAAAGAGTTAGGTATAAATTAGTAGCAAAAAATTATTCGTTTGACCATATTCGCAGGAGGAATAGCTTATAGCGTAATTTTTAATCTACGAGGAATAGGAATATAAACAAACAAGACATATTTATAAGTTCAAAATAAATACAAATTTTGACGTTTTAAAGGAATTCGACACATAACCAATCATTTTCTTCTACTTTCAATTGTAAAAGCATCAAGTATTTTACGACTTTTACGTGGAAGCACGTAGAACAGGACAAGACACAGGTCCGTATTTATATTTATAAACAAAACTCAGCTGCGTCGGACTTGGGTAAGTCGTCCTTGAACGAAAATCGAAGCTCGGTTAATATAACGCCTTTCGGTGTTAAATTGGAATTTAGAAATGGATATTAGCAAATCCGTAACTGTTATGTACATTTACGGATTTGTTACTACCCATCTTTAAATTCTCGCGATATAACCGAACTTTGAGGACGACTTACTCAAGCCCACATACTTTGATTTTCTTTTACTATACGGAGAATGGTCGCACTGCGCAGCTTTCTGAGTGCCTTTTAAAAGGAGATAGAAAACTTCGCCATTTTGAACCCTTATTACGTGTTGCCTACATCTTGGCGCAATATTTTTAATAGGTGCGTTTTAATCATCCGCTTCTGCTTCGGAATTGTCGGTTTTCTTGTTTTAATTTGACAAGTTAAAACGACTAAACCGACAATTCCGGAAGCAGAAGCGGATGATTAAAACGCACCTGATATTTTGCTTGCGGCTGTCAGTGTCAGTGCATATTATTTTTTGAGTCACACATTATTGCTAAAGAATAAGTTAGCTCACTCGGACCAGTTGAAAGTTTCATAATAAGATCCACTCCAGGAATACAAATTTAGGATACGCAGAAGACAGCTGTTTTATTATAGACGGTTGTTATATATTGTATTATCCGAGTTGCGCAGTGTATAAACTGGAACATTGAGATCAAAAGTGCCGACGCAGAGTGAGCGATCTGATTCTTTAGCTATAAACTGTTGCATAGGGTTCAAAATGGCCGGGCCCTATGTTGGGCGTGTCGGACCTCTCTCTTGCGCCGTATAGTAAAGAAAATCAAAGTATGTGCTCAAGCCCGACTCAGCTGAGTTCTGTTTATAAATACGGACCTTATTTTCCTCAGTGGCCTTGCATTAATGAAAAATTTGTGAACATAAATTAACATTTAAAAAGAAGAATAATTTTAGGTTATATTTCAAAACTTTACCGCCAATTTTTAATGTAAACTGGGAATTTGAAGTTTGTAAAATAGTTATAAAATAAACACATCATGGAAGATTCTGGTAATAAAAATAATCAATCTTTTATAATCACAATAATTAATATTCGTAATTTGCAGCTCAAGACAGAAGATCTAGCAGGCGATCCAAAGGGGATACTTCTTACAAAGCAAAAGCATTCGAAAAATTCAAACAGCTGAAGAAAGGGATTAAAAACAAGTACGAAGTTGATGATATTGATAATGTTTATGAAGTCGTTGAAGAAAAAGAGTACGTAAAAGAAGTTTTATCAAGATACGAAGATGATTGGATTGTCGATGATGGTATGTAGATCTGTTGGATCTGTTAATTAATTAAGATAAAGAATAATTTTAATAGTAGCTATCGAATCGACTTTTTTTAAAGGTCGTCAACCTAATTAATTTAATGTTAATGGGGTCTATTCTGTAAAAATTCCTTTATATTTAACGGCCTTTAAAAATATTTTCTTCTTTACTTCTGTCATTATTTAAACGGATCTTTAAAATAAATTAGAGTACTATCTTAAAGAAATCTGTTTAAATAGTGACAGAAGTAAATTAACGAATACAAATATACTTTTAAAGGCTGCCAATATTTTTAAAGGCCGTTAAATATAAAGGAATTTTTACAGAATAGACCCCATAATCTGATACTTTTTAGCTTATTAACCTATGTTTAATCTATTTGTGTACTATTTTTGTACTAATTGGGACACAATGTGTACTAGTGTACATTTTTCCAGCGGTATATTTATGCATTTTTTAAAAACCAGAACGTTACCGGAGCCAAAATTTTTAATTTTACTGTATTCTTAATTTCATTCCAGGTCTCTGAATAAATATGCATTTTACAAATTTTAGATGGCAGCGGCTATGTTGAGGATGGCAGGGACATTTTTGATGATGACATGGACTTGCAGTCCATCGCTCAAGCATCTAATAAAGGAAAAGGTACTAAAAGGAAAAGCAAAAACTTGTCGGAAAACGCAGGAAAAGGGAAATTGCAGCAAATGCTGTCCAGTATGCCAACAAAGAAAAAAACGGTAGTTATTTTAATTCAATTTAAATATAGAAATCATTTTTAATTAAAAACTATATTTCAGGAGACAAAAATCGACGATGATGATGAAATGTTATCAGAAATTCTTGGGGAAATTGATTCACCTTCAACAAGCGTTGCTAAACCCAAAATCAAAGAATATTCAGTTCTGGCTAAAAAATTAGCTGCTAAAAATTATATGAAAAACTTCTCACAACCGATAAAAAAACGTGCCATAGAAAGAAAATCATTACCAACAACAGAGACTCCCGAAAAGAATTCAACCCCATTAAAAGAGGTGACTGCTAATGTAGAACAACCTACAAAACGAATTTTAGAGCCAGTAAATGCAAAAATAAATCAAGCCGCAAGTCCAGTGGTGGAAAATAATGAAAAATTTGATGAAACTCTATCAGATCAATTCACTGAAGATATTTCCTTTGATGATTTCAATGAAACTCCTACAAAAATCACCGAAACGCAAATAATAGACACTGAAATGACTCAAGAGGAGTTTGATGATGATTTCGATGTCACACTGATTGAAGAAGTCGAATCTAAGTTATCTGCTGCCGGTGAGAAGCTTGCTGACAACATTCAGGCAGATTTTGAGACTGAATGGGAGAATTTCTCAAATACCAGCGTTAATGTCGATAGTAATAACCAAAATTTGTTGGACAAAACTGATATACCTCTGGAAGAAGTTGATGGACAAAAGGTAAACATTGTAACTATATTTGACTTGCCTCAAAACTTGATAATGTAGTTGGGTCATCCCAAGTTTATGACTTTTGCATTAAAATTGGATTTCTAGAGTAACTAGGAAATTTAATATATTCTTCCAACCTTTCCATAGAACAAATTATGGTTCTCATTTTTTTATTTCTAAAGTGGCAAGATCTGCTAATACACTGTAAAATGGATTATTTCTCCATCAGAATTTTCTAACCATTTATGTTTAATGTGAACCGTCCAGTTAATGACCACTTTAGGTAACAGTGATATATACATATTTGTAAAAATGTTCGTTTTGTATTTAAAAGAAAAAGCAAGGAATAGCTGGATGAATTTGTTTACTAATTTAACTTTTTTAACATAAAAATGTAAACATGTTTATTTGTTTAAAATATTCGATAATTTTTAAGATATAATGCATAAAATCCTAGTAAATGACCAGTTCCTTTGAGTAATTGACCAAATAAAATACCAGTAAATGACTACAAAACTTTATTGTCTAAAAGAAAACACAAATACTTAGTTTAAAAATATTAAAGCAGTGTTTCATCCTCTTCTTTATACCATATTTGGTCATTTTTTCTGGCCATTTCCAATTTTGTGCACTTTTACACATGACTCGCACTTCATATTCTCCTTTTTGTTTTCGTACAACAATACCGGGAAAATAACTGTTCTCATATTTGACAATCATGAAATCAGCAATGGTAAATGTAGTTGGTGGCATAGATTCATTGATTTCATTTTCATCCTGGTTTTCTTGTTCATTTTCCTATAAAGATTCTTCATCTGAAATATTCGAATCACTTGAACTTGAAGAAGATTCTCTTCTCTTTAACTTTTTTGGTCTATTTTCTTTATTTTTGTTTAATTCTTTAATTTTTTCCTCTCTAACTTTTTTCTTTGCTCTTTTACTTCTTCAGCAATTCTTTTTTGTTCTTCTTTCTTCTCATGATATTCTTTCCAATATATGGAAGTTATTGCCAAAGGGACTTTTTCTTTAATACTTTTTTTAGTGGCAATTTCCAACTTTGGAAAGTGTAAATGTTCCTTCCAGGAATCTTGGACTTTAAGAGATTTTTTTGAGCTAAAATTTAAATCCAATTGTTTCTTTTGACTCATCATTTTCCTCATTTTGATTTTCAATTTGGATGCTTTTATTTTGAGTATTGTCTTGGTTTTCTACATGTTCCATTTCTTCCTCAATTTGTTCACATATATTTTCATTTTTTTTGGGTAATCGCCGGGACCCTTTCTTGATTTTCTTTATTTATATAATCTACATTTCTAATTTCTTCAACTTCCTGATAATCATCAGTTTCTGTGTCCATCATTATTTGAACATTATTTTTCATATTTTCTCTTTCGTCTTCTAATGCAATATAATTATCGCCATTTTCTTCATTGGGGTTGTCTTGATTTTCTGCATATTTTTTCCATAATTTAAATAATTTATCATTATTTAAAAGTTTTTGTGCTTTTCTCCCTTCTCTGTATGTTTTTAAGGTCTCTGGGGAAATTTCACTTTTAAGAATTTTTAAAAATTTCGTTTTATTTTCCACTCTGATTACTCTCTACATTATTGTTATCTTCTTTTAGTGCTGCCTGATGAGTATTCATACATTTTGAAAAATCAACATTATTTGCATTAAATGGAAATATGCCACATTCCCTGAAGGCGTTTTGTATGGTTTCAATTTTACTGGCATTTTTAAATGCTTGTGCAAAAGTAGGTGCAAAAGATACTTTGGTTAGAGATTTTCTTGTTTTTTGTTTATATTTATGACACTGCTTCCTCCAGGATACTTTTAGAGGTCTAAAGATACTAACATCACATGGCTGTAATATGTGTGTAGCATTTGGTAATAGACAATATAAAATAATTCTTTTTTCTCGGCAAAAAGTGGCTAGTTCAGGACTGATATGTGACTTATGTCCATCTAGCAGAAAGAGAACAGGCAATTTTATGTTATTATCTAACAGCCATGGATAGAAATTATTCGCCACATGCTCAAAAAATGTAGGACCAACCATCCAACCTGTATCACTTCGACCAATATAAAAATTATCAGGGATAGAGTTAGCAATGTCTCTAGGTATTCTTTTGTATGGATATATTATAAGTGTTGGAGCTACTTTTCCATTGGCAGAAAATTTGCTAATACAGTCAGGCACTCTTTTTCTTTTCCAACAGCAACATCATAAAAATTTCTAAAATGTTTTGGCCCTAGCACCTTTCCTGTTTTGGGGCATAATTGCACTCGTCTCATCAGCATTATAGACCCGATCAGCATCTTCAAGAACATCAACAGCATCTTCTTCTATTAAATAACTTTTAAGATCCTGAAACCACTTTCTGATATCTTGCTCAGTGACGCTAGCTCTAGCTTTGGAAATAATTTCAGTATTTATTTTCCCACCAGGACGGTTGTTGTTGAATGGATTAAGACGCTGGGTTTTTTCCATTACCTTTTGTACAGCATCTTTCACTTCATCTGGATGCATAGGAAACTCAATTTTTGCTTTTTGGATTATCCAATTCTCCAACATATCTTCTTTCTGAGCAGTCAAGATTCTTGGTGGGCCCATCTTTCTTACTGACACATCGGATTTTCCATGTAGTTTATTAATTAAAGTGCCTTTTGGAATTTTAAATTGTTTACTGGCTTTAGTAGCACTAATTCTTCCTTCTTGGACTTCTGTCACTGGAACTTTAATGGAATACTTAAATCTTGTATATGCTCTTTTGGGTGCTTCTGTCATCTGAAAATAAATGTTACACAATTGCTTTATTGCACAAATAATATTTTAATACATAAACAGCAAAAAGTCATTGACTAGGCTAAATATACAGTGAATGACCAGAAGAGCATCTAGATAATAAGAGTGGTAATCTATAGGCAAGTCGATTCCCTCATTATTTACAATGCTTTTATAAAAGAAGCATCCATATAGTGATTAAAGTACATTATTAAAACAAATTATTTTAAAATTCCCGCCAACCCAGTAAATGACCACATTCGGTCATTCACTGAATTTCTCAGCTTTAGCATTACCTATTATTGACCATTTAAAAAATAAATGCTTTTTGAGGTTATATTAGTATTACAGCCTAAAAAATACTAAATTTGATCTTGTTTCATGCAGTTTAGTCCAAATAACATAACAGTTTTACAACTTTAACACATATTTTTTACAAAATAAAACACTTAGCTCTACTTACCTTAATTACTTGTGGTTACTTGAGAAGGAAACAAAAACACATGTACTTTTAACTGACATTTGTAAACTGCCGATTATGAGCAGTGTTGTCAAATGTATAAAAAAATTGAGAATTAGGTGAAGATCAATTTGCTGTATAATATGATGCCTTAGGTTATTAAAAATTCTTAATTAATCATAAATCAGTAAATATTGGTCATTTACTGGGACATGGTCAATAACCAGACGGTTCACCCTATTTTTTTTACGTAAGATTTCAGACATTATGATTTTCAAAAAAGAACCTATATTATACTGTTTTTTCGAGATCTTAAAGATTGTAGTAAAACAACCATTTTAAAAATAATATTTTCTTTTAAGGTATTTAGATTTTTTTGGTGGGACGCCTACGAAGACCCCGTACATCAAAAAGGATCCGTTTTCTTATTTGGTAGGACTTATTGCGAAAAAACGAAGAGTTTTATGAGTTGTTGCGTTGCCGTACGGAACATCGATAGGAGAATCTTCGTCCTACCCAGACCGTTCGTAAGTTTTCCCCAAAAATAAATGTTTTATGACTATTTGATTTAATGATGTTTTTAAGGAACTCGACAACGATGGTCAACCAACCGACAACGCCGTTACGATTAAAAACGTTTATGACGAATTCAACAACACCATTTTGAAACCATTGGGAGTGAAATCGTTTAGAACAAAACCAACCATGAAGAAGTACGCTTTTAATCCCAATATACCGAGCGAATCCGAATATATGGAAGTTAGATATGCCGTAAGTACATAATATTTAATGTTGTAAATCTACATACAAAATTAGTGATAGTTTGCTATATAATCTATGGTCCAAATATTTTTTTTCTTTCATTCTTCAAAACAAATCAGGACACCCTTTATGTTTAAAATTGAACGGAAAAATTAAAAATAATTTTAATTTGGGAAAAAAAACAGTCAAAAGAAAAAAAAACTTATTGAAGATATAAGAAACATAAACTTGAAGCTTTTACCTCCAGAAAACAAAATATTAGAAAACAAGAAAAAATCCTTTAAGGTCAATGATAGATTTTCTAGAAAAAGAACAAAATATGGAGTTCTATCGAAACTTATTATTAAAATAAGTTTAAAATATACGTTTACTTTTTGTTAATTCGATGTTAAATAAAGAGTTCTTTTTAATTTGAATGAGTTAGTCTTTTATCTGTGATATAAAATATTTATAACTCCTTTTGTATGCAGTACAATAGGCAGAAGGACTTTGGTCGATAGCCTATTGGACTGAATTTTCAGTTCAATAAATGACAATTATTATTATTATTTTAGTCTTTTATTGTTTAGTTCTTTTCTTTATAAATATTTAATTGTTTTCGCGTATGGCACTTAGCATGTTTTTAAAATAACATTTTTGATTTTTTCTTGTATGAAAATTTAAAGAAACATTTATGGGAAATCAATTAAACTGCTATTTTATTCTGTTCTAAACTAATGTATACATCACACTTTTTTAAAGATATTTCGGCTTTTTAATTTTGGCACTCAGCCCATTTGAACTGGATACCCTTTCAATTTTCCATGTTGATTGATACCCTTAAATATTCGCATATAATTAAGGAATACCCTATATCATTTGTAACTAAATTTGGAAAATACCATTTTTATATGCGATCGACTGGACTATTTTTTATTACACCTTAATTTAATTTTTAAAAGTATCAAAATGTATTTTTTTATTCACGATTTACTGGACTATTTTAGTTATACATAAATTAAATTCTTTGTATTGACAGCTTCCTCCCGATTTTAAAAGTAGTTCGAGAAATAATTTTTTATTTCACGATTGATTGTACTATTTTATTCATACGGTAAATTTAATTTTTTTCACCCTATATAATTCGTTGAATTAAAAAATCCTTTATTTTTGTTTAAAGTATTTCAAAAGGTTTTTTTTTATTACCGATTGACCGGACTATTTCTTTTAGTTATATGAAAATTAAATTTTCTTCACCCTGTATAATTAATTGGATGAAATAACATTGTTTTTATTTTTATAATCTTTTTAAAGGTTTTATTTTTAAATTCACGATTGACTGGACTATTTTAACTGAACTATTTTAGTTATATGTAAATTTAAATTTTTCACCCTTTATAATTCGTTGAATTAACAACTCCTTCATTTATCCTATTTTAAAAGTATTTCAAAAAAGCATTTTTTTCTCGATTGACTGGACTATTTTAGTTATACGTAAATTTAATTATCTTCGCCCTGTATAATTCTTTGAATTATCAAAAATTCCTTCAATTGCTATTTTAAAAATATTTCTAAAAAGCATTTTTGTTCGCAATTGACTGGACTATTTTATTTATACCTAAATTTAATTTTCTTCGCCCTATATAATTCGTTGAATTAACAACTTGATTCTTTACTTTTTCAAAGTTATTTTTTTATTTCATGATTAACTGGACTATGTTAGTTACACGTAACTTTAATTTTCTTCGCCCTGTCAAATTCGCTGTAATAAAAATTCCTTCGTTGTTATTTTAAAAGGATGATGATGGAAAAACATTTTCTATTTCACGATTGACTGGACTATTTTAGTTTTACACAAATTTAATTTTCTTCATAATATATTCGTTTTGAATTAACAATCCCTCCATTTGTCCTATTTTAAAAGTATTTCGAAAAATATTTTTTTACGATTAACTGAACTATTTTAGTTATACGTAAATTTAATTTTTTTCTCCCTATATAATTCGTTGAATTAACAAATCCTTTGCTTTCTTTTAAGTATTTTTTTTATTCACGATTGACTGGACTATTTCTTTTAGTTATATGGAAATTAAATTTTCTTTGCCCTGCATACTTAATTCGTTGAATTAACAATTTTTTATTTTTAAAATCCTTTTATTTTTTTGAATTCATGATTGACTGGGCTATTTTAGTTTTACATAAATTTAATTTTAATTCGTTGAATTAACAATTTTTTATTTTTGAATTCTTTTTATAAGGTTTTTTTTAATTCATGATTGACTGGACTATTTTGGTTTTACGTAAATTTAATTTTCTTCACACTGTATAACAACCCCTTTATTTGTCATATTTTAAAAGTATTTCGAAAAAGCATTTTTTTTACGATTAACTGAATTATTTTAGTTATACGTAAATTTCATTTAATTCACCCTGTATAATTCTTTGTATTATTAAAAATTCCTTAATTTTTTCTATTTTAAAAGTATTTCGTAATATTTTTTTACTATTGACTGTACTATTTTAGTTATACGTAAATTTAAAGAGCTTCGCCCTATATAATTCTTTAAATTAACAAAAACTTTATTTGTCCAATTTTAAAAATATTTCAGAAAGTATTTTTGTCCACAATTAACTACACTATTTTAGATATACATAAATTTAATTTTCTTCACCCTGTAAAATTCGCCTAATTAACAACTCCTATTTTAAAGATTGAGGAAAACTTTTTTCTCTATTGACTGGACTATTTTAGTTGTACGTACATTTAATTATTTTCGCACTGTATAATTCTTTGAATTATGAAAAATTCCTTCATTTGTCAAATTTTAAAAATATTTCAAAATGCATTTTTGTCCACAATTAACTACACTATTTTAGATATACATAAATTTAATTTTCTTCACCCTGTAAAATTCGCCTAATTAACAACTCCTATTTTAAAGATTGAGGAAAACTTTTTTCTCTATTGACTGGACTATTTTAGTTGTACGTACATTTAATTATTTTCGCACTATATAATTCTTTGAATTATGAAAAATTCCTTCATTTGTCAAATTTTAAAAATATTTCAGAATGCATTTTTGTTCACAATTTTAGATATACGTAAAATTAATTTGCTTCACCCTGTAAAATTCGCCCAATTAACAACTCCTATTTTAAATGTTGAGGAAAAGCTTTTTTTTCACGATTGACTGGACTATTTTAACTGAAATATTTTAGTTATATGTAAATTTAAATTTTTTCACCCTGTATAATTTGTTGAATTAACAACTCCCTTCATTTATCATATTTTAAAATATTTCGAAAAAGCATTTTTTTCGATTGACTGGACTATTTTAGTTATACGTAAATTAAATTCTGTTCGCCCTCCATAATTCTTTGAATTAACAACTTCCTCCCGATTTTAAAAGTATTCCAAGAAATCATTTTTTTTTTATTTCACGATTGATTGTACTATTTTATTCATACGGTAAATTTAATTTTCTTTGTCCTATATAATTCGTTGAATTAACAAATCCTTTACGTTTTTTTTTAAGTATTTCAAAAGGTATTTTTTTATTCACGATTGACTGGACTATTTCTTTTAGTTATATGGAAATTAAATTTTTCTCACCCTTTATATATAATTAATTCGTTGAAAACTATTTTTTATTTCTGAAATCCTTTCAAAAGGTTTTTTTTTAAATTCATGATTGACTGGACTATTTCAGTTATACGTAACTTTAATTTTTTTCGCCCTGTCAAATTCGTTGTATTAACAATTCCTTCATTCCTCCTATTTTAAGGGATGATGGAAAAGCATTTTCTATTTCACGATTGACTGGACTGTTTTTGTTATACGTAAATTTAATTTTCCTCGCCCTATATAATCCTTTACTTTTTTTAAAGTATTTCGAAGGTTTTTTATTCACGATTGACTGGACCATTTCTATTAGTTATATGTAAATTAAATTTTCTTCACCCTGTGTAATAATTCGTTGAATTAACAATTTTTTATTTTTGAAATCCTTTTAAAAGTTTTTTTTTTAATTCATGATTGACTGGACTATTTGAGTTTTACGTAAATTTAATTTTCTTCACACTATAACACAACTCCTTCATTTATCCAATTTTAAAAGTATTTTAAAAAAGCATTTTTTTACTCGATTGTCTGCCCTATTTTTGTTATACGTAAATTTAATTTTGTTCTGTCTGTCTAATTCTTTGAATTTTCAAAAATTCCTTCAATTATCAAAAATTCCTTCATTTGTCCAATTTTAAAAATATTTCGAAAAAGCATTTTTGTTCGCAATTGACTGGACTATTTTAGTTATAGGTAAATTTAATTTTCTTCACCACGTTTAATTCGTTAAATTAACAACAACTCCTCTTTGTCCTATTATAAAACAATTTCGAAAAAAACATTTTATTTTCCCGGTGGAATGGATTATTTTAATTTTATGTAAATTTAATTTTCTTCACTCTGTAGAATTCGTTGATTTAACAATCCCTTTGTTCCTCGTATTTTAAAAGTATTTCGAAAAAACATTAATTTTATTTCTCGATTAACTGGACTATTTTAGTTTTACGTAAATGTAATTTTCTTTACCCTGTATAATTCGGTGAATTAACAACTCCTTCTTTTGTGCTATTTTAAAAGTATTTCCAAAAATCAATTATTTTTTTTCGATTGACTAGATTATTTTAGTTTTACGTAAATTTAATTTTCTTCACCCTGTATAATTCGTTGAATTAACAATTCTCTTATTTTAAAAGTTTTTCGAAAAAGCACTTTTTTTATTTCACGATTGACTGACTGGACTATTTTAGTTATACGTAAATTTAATTTTCTTCACGTTGTATAATTCGCTGAAAAAACTCCTTCATTCCTCATTTATTAAAGTATTTGACACTGCTATTTTTTATTTACGATTGATTGGACTATTTTTATTAGTTATTAATAAGTATTATTATGTATAAATTAAATTAACAACTTTACTCTTCATTTTTTAAAAGTATTTCAGAAGATATTTTTTTAAGTCGTTATTGACCGGACTATTTTATTTACACGTATTGTACATATAGTTTTGTAAATTAGGTTTTTTTTTTTTGTCTGTAGATAGTGTATATTTTTGTAACACCTCTTGTAATATTATAATTGTACCTGTGTCAATGGCCCCTGATGCCGAGACACGTTAATTTCAGTAAAAAAAAAAATTTTTTCTTCACCATGCATAATTCGTTAAATTAACAATGACTCTTTCATTCTTCCTGTTTTTGAAGTATTTCGTTAATGCTTTTTTTCAATTCACGAATGACGACTGGACTATTTTAGTTATATTTAACACCTCGACTGCTATCATGATCTAAAAAAAATAGATTTTTAGGCCACATATGGAATTAAACTTTTGGGTTAACATAGAGCAGGGACAGAAGTTAAAAAGTCGTTTGGTAGGTGAAGCGGTGGTAAACGTATGTAATTATGAACTAAAAATAATATGCTAAATTGGTGATAACATAATAAGGGTTCCATTGACAACTACAGTGACAGTATTTTTTTGAGTATTTTGTTCTTTTTTTTTTTACCAAATTATATTGTTTTTGAACTTTTATAAATATATTCCTAGAGTAAGTAGATAAAATGCATCAAGTATATAATCATTTGGTAACTAATTACATACCTTTAAACTTTTTAGTATTCATGTATCGTAAACCATCCCAAACAAACAAAAAAGCGTGTATAATCGGGTCTTTATCGCACGCCGTGCGTATAAAGGTTGCTAGGTAACCGTTTCAATAAATAAGATTATATTTTGTCAGATTTTATTTTGAATTGTCAAATTAATGAAATTGTTTACAAGTTTACCTAATTCAAGTAACATGAACAAAAAAATTATTCTAATAATTAAATGAAATAAAATGCATGGAAATTATTAATTTGCATTTTTAAATTAACATGATTGTAGTTATTACTACTATTACTATTGTAATTACCCATTCATACTAAAAAAATTCGTATGACACAATGCATAATCGCCATTAAAGCATTCGCAACGTTAAGGCCACTCCGCTGCGCGTCGTGGCCTTAAACTCGTTGCTCATGCTTTAAATGCTCGATTATACTTAGTGTTATAAATCTATTTTATGTCTTAAATAATATTTAATAAAAACAGTAAAAAAGTATATGTCAAATATTGTTAGGAGAATTTATATACATGCATTACGCGAAATTGTTATTATTATCTTCTTTAAAATAATTTTCTATGCCAATGTATCGCGTTCACTTCAGTTAGCTCCACGGCAAAACTGTCAATATTAAGTGGGAGACCTGCGAAAATCTTTTTTAACTTCTCTCCCTGCTCTAAGTTGGAGCAAAATGTATAGATGCCACCAAAACATGCCCCATAAGCTTATACCGCTACTGAGAAGCAGTGTTGTACGTACGCCAATATTTTAGTAAAGCATGAGAACTGTGGTGCTTCTCGTGGCAGTCAAGGTGTTAATTTTTTTTTTTTGTTTAATTTATTGTAGTCCAGTAAAATGATTTTGTTTTTCTATTTAATGATTTACAGTCTTTTTTTTTTTTTGGAAATGTAATTTATTATTTTAAGTCTTAATCTAGATTCTAGATCATAATTATCTGCTAAAATATACGGATATTGTATTTTTTAAATTTTAGGCGTCAGAACCGCGAATCGACGTTGAAAATTTACCGAAAAAAATCCGCACTTTTTCGAAAATTTTCGGTACTAACACGAGCTTCTTAGAGACGCTCTTTTTGGATCGCAAAATCAAAGGTCCTTGCTGGTTGGACATATCGAATCCCGTGCCGGTATCCAACCCTGTAAGCTGGTGCAAATTCGAAGTAAACTGTATGAAAATCGTCGACCTTAAATTAACTCCTAGCGAAAAACCGCTTCCTCCACCGCCTCTTGTCGTGGCGACCATTAATATGAGGAGCTGCATTAACAGGAGGACCGGCACGCTCGAGCTGGTTATGCTGTCCTGTTTGGCGCATAACGAGTACGAGGTGGATAAACAGCCTCCAGATCCGCCATTTCAACAGCATTTTTGCGGTAAGTACATCGGGAATCTATTTTAAATACCCCACTATTTATACAACTTAACTAAGTACACTCTGTATTTAGTTTTTAAAGATTTATTTTATTTAAATTACAACATTATTAACCAAGAACAGATTCTAAACTGAATATCATGAAAGGAAATATAATACAACTGGTGACATTACACCTAAGGTGGAATGACACAAACTAATCTAATAGTCAGCAGTTCCAAGGTTCATCCACGAGGTTGCCGACTCAGGGTTATTGAGTCTATAACTCTCTCCTTGTTAAAATGAGGCTTCTTGCGGAAGTCAAATATGTTCTTCAGTGGTTGGTTCTGGTGGGGATTTTTCTTTTTTCTTAGGCATAAGTCTAGGAAATAAGGTTAAATCACCATAGAAATCTGGTATCATATCTAAATATTTATCTTTTAATTCTGGAATTGTTGGAGCCATTTTAAATTAATTATTTGAAGTTAAAATATATGAAATGTTTAAATTTGTTTTGTTTAAATTTGAGTCAGAATTGTCTGAACTTTCAGAATTGATAATTAAAGGTTGCTCTCTAAACGACTTATAAAACACAGTAAAAGTAATTTCCACTCCATCTATTCGAATTCCGTCGTCAACCAAGGACTGGACAGGGTAGACTCTTCAATGTTCACTTGAATGTCTTTCTTAACTCGAATAGCGTTCTTCACGTTAGGCTACTCTATTCACCCAACTGGAAAACTTTTTAAACACGTTTTAAAGTTCAAAATGGTCAAAAAATCGTAGAAACCAACCAGAAATTATGTGCACTAAACCCGTTTGACCATCCTACTGACTGCGCCACTTAACTAAGTACAATCTGTATTTAATTTTTGAACAGATTCTAAGCTGAATATCATGAAAGGAAATATAATACAACCGGTGGCATTACACTTAAGGTCGAATGACACAAACTAATCTAATGTAATAGTCAGCAGTTCCAAGGTTCCAGGGTTATTGACTCTATAACTTACATGTAATTCTTTCAGTTTTTACCCGTCCCAGTGACCAACCACTTCCATCCGACATCCACAACGCTCTCGGCAAATACAAAGCTACCAAAGTCCAAAAAATGGACTCCGAGAAAGGCATGCTCAACTTCTTCGTCAACAAATTCACAGAAATCGATCCTGATCTCATAGTTGGCCACGATTTGCAGGGTTACCAAATCAACGTGCTCGTCAACAGATTGTTGACGTTGAACACCGTGAGTTTCAACAAATTGGGACGGCTGAAGAGGACCGATAAGAAGGCGTTGGAGAAGAGTTTGTTTGCCGGCCGATTGGTGTGCGATATGAAAGTGTCCGCCAAAGAACTGATCAAATCTCGATCGTACGATTTGGAAACCCTCTGCCAGGTCGTGCTGAAATTAAACGACAACCAACGAATCGAATTAGAGCCGGAAGATATACCGAAAATGTTCAAAACGTCCGACGATATTTTGAAACTGATCTCGTTCACGATGCAGGACACCATGTACATAATAAAGATGATGTACGGCTTGAACGTGATACCGCTGGCGCTGCAGATCACCAATATAGCCGGTAACGTCATGTCGAGGACTTTGATGGGCGGTCGATCCGAAAGAAACGAATTCCTATTGCTGCACGCTTTCTCCGAAAAAGGATTCATATTGCCCGATAAGGAGTACAAGAAGAAAATTCCGGGTCAGAAGGGTTCCAAGAAGAAACCTACTTACGCCGGAGGTAAGTGTTTTTAAATTATACCAACCAGTAAAGATCAGTAATTTTAATTCAATATAGATGGGTGTGGAAACAGTTTATAAAAAACGCCAAACTGCGCCTCAAAATATAAAAAGTATAATTTTTATTAATATAAACTAAATTCGTCTAGCAATAAAAACAAGACCAGTTGGAATATTATCAAAAATCTCAAAATATCGTCTAAAAATTGATGATAAACTCATAAATAATCCAATCCTAATTTCTACAAAGTTTAATTAATATTTTATAAACGTCCCTATTGATAAAATGAATGAAAGAGAATGAAAGACCTTTCAAACAAGGTGTAACTCATCTCCCTGTTCAAAGGGGTCTGGAAATAAGTCTTAATTGGTTTCCCTCCTATACTAGAAAAAAATATTGGAGAAGGTGAGTCATATGCATGATCAACACTGTTGTCTGTGAATGAAAATTCCGACGACGGAAAGTCGGCATAGGCGGCGTATCAAATACCAAATAATTATTTATTATTTATTAGGTATTTGTTAATAAACTTTATTAAATTTGTTTGTCAACATCTATATTTAAATAAAGATGTTGCGTAAAATATACGTTTTTGATAGTTTTCAAGAAATGAATATATTTATTCCCTAATGACTTCGTTATCTGTGTTTAATGGTTTTAAAAACACCGCTTTTAAAAACGTGTTTTTCCGTTCTTGGCAATTTCGTTGATCGTTACATTCATTTAGTTAGACAGACAAAAAAGTCCGTCCATGTGTGGATCAGGTAAAGAGTCAAAACCGCTAAATCAGTTAAAATCAGTTTTAACTCTGCAATAGAGAGTAAAATTTTGTAAGATGATACCCTAATATTTGGAGGCGATGACAAATGAATGTGTTTCAAGTAAATAAACGACAGACGGGTTACAGATTGAATATTGTCAGCACAGACACAAAGACAGTTGAAAACTAACTTTCGACGAAGTTAGATTTGTATCGCTTTAACTATTTACGATAATTATTCTATATTTTATAAACACTTTTTTGTATAAGTGCTCTTTTCTGATATACGAGTAAGTGTTCATGTTTGTGCCTTACAATTTGGTAGTGGTAGTGCATATTCGAGGAGTTATATTTATTGCGTAGTATATTAGGTAGGTACTTTAAAAGTTTATTAAATAGTAAAATATTGGTGTCTTTATAAATTTGATAAAAACAATTTAATAGTAGAATTATATTGTTACAATAGTAATGGATTCAGAGGCGGGACCAAGTGAAACCCAATTACGTCGGCAAAAGCCCTTATCAAAGGATGAAAAGAACATTATATGTAAAGTGTATGATGGGCTGAAACAGACACTTCCTACAAATGAAGCTGTAAACGGCAGTTCTTTTTTAACTGGAGTATCTGTTTCAACAATTGAACGTATTGTACGCGAAAAGACAAAAAAAGGCTCATTGGAAGCCCCTAAAACACATACCCGTGATCGAAAATGGTTGAAAATTGTTGAAATTGGACGATAACCAAAAACAAATCATTCGAAGAACTGTATATTTTTTTTTTTTTTTTTTTTTCGAAAATAAAGCCCCAACACTTAAAGTTGTTCTTACGAAATTAAGAGAAAACGAAGAAATTCCAATAATGAGCCGTGAAACTTTACGAAAAATTTTATGGGGCCTAAAATTTCGTTTTGTCAAACGGTGCAGGAAATCAATTTTAATTGAGAGGTCAGATATAGTGTCCTGGCGACGGCGTTATTTACGAAATATTAAAGAGTTTAGAGCCACTAAAAAAAAGATATACTATCTCGATGAAACGTGGGTGAATGCTGGACACACGGTATCTAAGATATGGCAAGATACTTCTGTAACTAGTCATCGCCAAGCTTCTATAAAGGGATTATCTACAGGTTTAAAAGCACCATCAGGTAAAGGACAGCGCCTAATTGTTACCCATATGGGAAGTGACAGTGGATTTTTGGAAAATAGCGCTCTTGTGTTTATATCGAAAAAACAGGAGACTACCACGAGGACATGAATGTGGAATGCTTTGAAAAATGGTTTACTGAAGTATTACAGCGTTTAGAACGAAATTCAGTTATTGTACTAGATAACGCTTCTTATCACAGTCGACGAGTTGAACGCACTCCGATAATGTCCAGTAGGAAAGCGGATATGCAAACCTGGCTGCGGAATAAAGCAATAACATTTACTGAGGAGATGCTTAAAGTGGAATTAATGGATCTATTAAAGGAACACCGCCATCAATATGTTGTCGACACAATGGCTTGTGATCGTGATAATATGGTACTAAGACTTCCCCCTTATCACTGCGAATTCAATCCTATTGAACTAATTTGGGCGCAAGTGAAAGGGTTTGTAGCTCGAGAAAAAACTTTTAAAATAGCCGACGCTCAAAGTTTATTAAAAACCGATATAAAACGTATAAAACCTGAAGATTGGCAGAATGCTATTTCCCATGTAATTAAGGAAGAAAATAATATATGGCGCTTAGACGGTATGATCGAAATGGTAGTTGAATCTTTAGACATAACTTTAAGTTCCGACGATAAAGACGATTCCAGTGATAGTTCTGCAGAATCAATGGATTACGAAACTTCATAGATTTAGAATTCAAGTAAGTGATACCTAGATTAATTTACATATTTTTATAATAAACAAAATACAATTATAAACATAGATGAATTATAACAAAAATAGATAACCAACCTACTTTCATCTAGTAATATTCACAAATACCCATTTAATTTGCCAATATAGTATTTCTGCAACACTGAAAGAGTGCATTTTGATATGATAACGATACCTTTTGCAGTTTTAAGGCGCACCTTCTTCAATATTTTGTTCTAGTATAATACCTCATTTAATTTTCCAATAGTGTTTCTACGCCACTAGCATAATATTTACATATTTTAACAATAAACCAAAACAAAATTATAAACAAATGATTATTACTACAAAAATAGATAACCAACCTACTTTCATCTAATATTATTTACTATTACTGCATTTAATTTGCCAATAGTTTTTATACGCCACTGGCGTAATACATTTTGGCAATAAACATGCATTTATGACTAGTTGGCACGTAATATCGATAACTTCTGCAGTTTTAGGCGCGTGATTCCATTCATTATGCTCTGGTATAGTATGATTGTTGTACGTAAACAGGGAGGAATCACCTTCTTCAATATTTTTCCTAGTATAGACAAATAAATTGAGGTGTTCAAGCGATTTTTTTTAATGACATTAAGACCTGTAAATTTGAACCTTTTCGTTTTCGTTGTCATTACGAACGAAATCAAAATCTACACCGTTTATTTTTGTGAAAATTTCCATGATCCTAAAAATATATTTTTTCATATAAAATAAAATTAGTCTAATTTTTTGATTTTTTTTTTAATTTCATTGGCCCACGAAGTAAATATTTCTAGTTTTATGTAACATTTTGTTTGATTATGACATGTTTAAAAAAATTATCGTTTTAATAATTTTTTGGACAAATTATAAACATTTTGATATCTGTTTTAAAAATGTATGATTTGTTGTTGAGTCTATCTCAATTGAAAATTACTCAAATTCTATTTGAAATATTGAACCTTTTAATAATTCGACTAGGCCCATTCAGGTTATAGTGGTGCATATTGTGTGCTTAATATTTGTATAATAATCCCAATTTTGACTTTTTTATTAAATTATATTGGACTATAAAATAACCCAAGAAAATTTCATTATATCCTTTCGTATAATTTTTAGCAGTGTTATAAATAAAATATCTTATAGTCCAGGACACGTTCATGGAAATTTAAACTCCGCTCATTTTTCTGCAATATTTTCTAATTGGCCAAATTTTACTGAATAAATAGATCATAAACAAAGGAAAATAATTAAAATCATTTTACGCATTTTGACTTATGCATTATTTCTTTGAGTTTATCTCAATCGGAAATGACTTATTTTTTTCATGGAATCGTGAACTTTCTAATAATCAATTCATTATATTCAGAAACAATTTCATATAAACCAAAATAAAATTTCTTTATCAGGTTTCTCATAAAACAATGAAAATAAAAATATTGATCGAAAACCATAAGAAACTATGTTAAACCTGAAATGTTGACATTTAGCATTTAGTCGCTGCTTGATTATTATATTTGCCATCATACTGGTGTTAGTTTTGCTTCAAACGATACAAAATTTACCGCTAAAATTATATCTGTTAACTTTTCCTTTCGTAAGTTTAAAAATGAACCATAGCTATTCCATTGTCAACTAGGTTTGGTCCTGGATCCCAAGGTAGGTTTCTACGACAAGCTCATCCTCCTCATGGACTTCAATTCCTTATATCCCAGTATAATTCAGGAATACAATATATGCTTTACCACATTACCTGTCACAGAGGAAGACGATAATCTGTACTTACCGGACAGCAGTCTGCCGCCTGGCATTTTACCGACAGAAATCAGAAAACTAGTAGAGAGTCGACGTCAAGTCAAAGGTCTGATGAAGAGACCGGATCTATCTAATGATCTGCGAGTGCAGTACGATATCAGGCAGATGGCTCTGAAGTTGACAGCTAACTCCATGTACGGTTGTTTGGGTTTCGCAAATTCCAGGTTCTACGCCAAAAATTTGGCCGCTTTGGTCACGCAGAAAGGTCGAGAAATCTTGACCAACACCAGGGATATGATCGAGAAAATGAGCTACAATGTCGTGTACGGAGATACCGACAGTATTATGATTAATACTAATATTTTGGAGTATGAACAGGTAAGCGTGTGTTAATTGGCGCCCAACGATTCTTGAAAGAAACCAAATATTTCAGGTATTCAAAATCGGCGTGAAAATCAAACAGGAAGTCAACAAACTGTACAAACAAGTCGAGTTGGACATAGACGGCGTGTTCAAATATTTGCTGCTATTGAAAAAGAAGAAATACGCCGCTATATCTCTAGCGAAAGACAAAAATGGCGGTCTCGTCACCACCAAAGAGTACAAAGGTTTGGACATAGTTCGCAGGGATTGGTCTCAACTGTCTTGCGAGGCTGGCAAATACGTTTTGGATCAGATATTGAGCGATCAGTCTCCGGATGACAGAATAGAAAACATTCACGAGTATTTGAGGAAAATTCGTGCCGATTTGGAAGAAGGTAACTAACTGGGGTGTGTTTAGAAAATTCGCACGGCGCGTCTGACCACATACATTACAATAGGGACCAGACGCGCTGTGCGAGGTTTTTAAAAACATTCCTGTATTTGACTAACTTGATTAAAAAATTATATTATAATTTTCAGGCAAAGTACCAATACCTCTATTAGTGATAACCAAGCAACTTACTAAAGAACCTCAGATGTACCCGGATAAAGCTTCTTTGCCGCACGTTCAGGTGGCGCTGAGGTATAACAAAAACAGCGGCGGTCATTTCAGAAGCGGCGACACTGTTCCTTACGTAATTTGCGAAGATGGGACTAGGAATAATGCTATACAACGTGCCTATCACGTTGACGAAATGAAAAATAACCCCGTTTTGAAAATAGACTATAATTATTATCTGGGACAGCAGATTCATCCTGTCGTGACTAGAATTTGTGAACCTATAGAGGTAAAGACAAAAGTATTTTAACGTTAGATAAATTATCAAGGCTAAGAAATAGAAAATCGGAAATTTCAATATAACTTTTTATTCGGTTGGAAAGACAAAAAAGAAACAAATTCGATCAATAACCGTAACTAGTAAACATTCCTTGTTTTTTTACAGGATGATAATAAATATTAAAATAAATTACATCTTGTAGGGTGATTTCGTAACAAGTATTCTGTAGTTTTCCAAATTTTAATTCAATTCGACTGGCTTATTACATACGTAATAGCCCAGGAATATTTTATAGTAATTTGGAAATTGTATTTATGTCGTTTTTAGGGTACCGATTCTTACCAAATAGCCGAATGTTTAGGGATGGATTTGAAGAACTTAAAAAAACCGCAGAAACAATCAACAGATCAGATCGTGGGAGAGAATATATGTAGGCCGGAAATCAAATTTAGGAATGTGGATACATTCAAGTTCGTTTGTTACGTGTGCAAACAGGAAAACATCGTAGACGGTCCGTTGGTCGGCGCGACACCGTTTTTAGAAAAATGCCAAAACGCCGATTGCAAATCGAGACCCATCGACTACTTACCCTGTATCCAGAACCAAGTCACTTTGTCTATTCGTTCCTATATAAAGAAGTACTACAAAAGTGTAATGATTTGCGAGGACCCAGCTTGCACCAACGAAACCAGGAAATTACCGCTGCGATTCGTTAGAAAGTATCCCTTATGTAATGTCTGCAAAAAGGGCGTCCTGTTCAAGGTGTATAACGAGCAGCAATTATACAACCAACTCGCTTATTTTCAGCATATTTTCGATTTGGGGAAACTCCTCAGAAGTAAGTTTTTTTTTTTGGCCCCCAACCTTTTTTATTTTTGACGCCCGACGTCAAAACATTGCCCGGGAATTAAAAGATCGTCAAAAAATAGCTTGAGTTGAAAAGATCGTCAAAAAAATACTCGAGGTTCAAAAGTCTGTCAAAAAAATAACTCGAGAGTTAAAAATAAGTCAAATAATTCATCAAGTATCAAAAAGTTGTTCAAAAGTTGAAAAAAATGCTCAAGAGTTAAAATATTGTCAAACGTTTTTTTGCGCTCAACTTTCTTTTTGCGTCTAAAAATAAATAGTTCCAGTGTTAAAAGATCGGCAAAAAAAATTCTTAAGAGTTAAAAACATCGTCAAAACATTGCCCGGAAATTAAAAGATCGTCAAAAAAGCTCTAGAGTCAAAAAAATAACTCAAGAGTTAAAAATAAGTCTAAAAAAATCATCGTGTGTTATACGATATCAAAAAATTGTTCAGAAGTTGAAAAAATACGCCAGAGTTAACATATCGTCAAACGTTTTTTTGTGCTCAACCTTGTTGCGCCTAAAAATAGTTGCAGTGTTAAAAGATTGTCAAAAAAACATTCTTAAGAGTTAAAAACATCGTCAAAACTTTGCCCGGGAATTAAAAGATCGTCAAAAAATAGCTTGAGTTGAAAAGATCGTCAAAAAAATACTCGAGGTTCAAAAGTCTGTCAAAAAAATAACTCGAGAATTTAAAATAAGTCAAATAATTCATCAAGTATCAAAAAATTGTTCAAAAGTTGAAAAAAATGCTCAAGAGTTAAAATATCGTCAAAGTTTTTTTGCGCTCAACTTTCTTTTTGCGTCTAAAAATAAATAGTTCCAGTGTTAAAAGATCGGCAAAAAAAATTCTTAAGAGTTAAAAACATCGTCAAAACATTGCCCGGAAATTAAAAGATCGTCAAAAAAAGATCGTCAAAAAGCTCTAGAGTCAAAAAAATAACTCAAGAGTTAAAAATAAGTCTAAAAAAATCATCGTGTGTTATACGATATCAAAAAATTGTTCAGAAGTTGAAAAAATACTCCAGAGTTAACATATCGTCAAACGTTTTTTAGTGCTCAACCTTGTTGCGCCTAAAAATAGTTGCAGTGTTAAAAGATTGTCAAAAAAACATTCTTAAGAGTTAAAAACATCGTCAAAACTTTGCCCGGGAATTAAAAGATCGTCAAAAAATAGCTCGAGTTAAAAATATCGTCAAAAAAATGCTCGAGAGTCAAAATTCTGTCAAAAAAATTTTTAAAGACAGTCAAAAGTTCATCGAGTATTAAAAAAGATATCAAAAAATTGTTCAGAAGTTGAAAAAATGCTCCAAAGTTAACATATCGTTAAACGTTTTTTTGTGCTCAACCTTGTTGCGCCTAAAAATAGTTGCAGTGTTAAAAGATCGTCAAAAAAACATTCTTAAGAGTTAAAAACATTGTCAAGACATTGCCCGGGAATTAACAGCTCGTTAAAAAATAGCTCGAGTTAAAAAAGTCGTCAAAAAAATGCTCGAGAGTCAAAAGTCTGTCAAAAAAGTACCTAACTCCCGAGTTAAAAATAAGTTAAATAATTCATCGAGTATTAAAACATATTAAAAAATTGTTCGGGAGTTGAAAAAAATGTGCTTGAGAGTTTTAAATATCGTCAAACGTTTTTTGTGCTCAACCTTCTTCTTGCGGCTAAAAATAGTTTCAGTGTTAAAAGATCGTCAAAAAAAAATTCTTAAGAGTTAAAAACAGCGTCAAAATATTGCCCGGAAATTAAAAGATCGTCAAAAATAGATCGAGATAAAAAGATCGTCAAAAAATGCTTGAGAGTCAAAAAAATATCTCAAGAGTTAAAAATAAGTCAAAAAAAAATCATCGAGTGTTATAAGATATCAAAAAATTGTTCAGAAGTTGAAAAAAATACTCCATAGTTAACATACCGTCGAACGTTTTTTTTGGGCTCAACCTTTTTGCGCCTAAAAATATTTCCAGTGTTAAAAAATCGTCAAAAAAAATTTTTAAGAGTTAAAAACATCGTCAAAACTTTTCCCTGGAATTAAAAGATCATCAAAAAATAGGTCGAGTTAAAAAGATCGTCAAAAAAATGGTCGAGAGTCAAAAGTCTGTTAAAAAAATAACTCGATAGTTAAAAATAAGTCAAAAAATTAGTCGAGTGTTAAAATATATCAAAAAATTGTCCAAAAATTGAAAAAAAAAAAACGCTCGAGAGTTAAAATATATTGTCAAAAATTTTTTTGCGTTCAACCTTCTTTTTGCGTCTAAAAATAGTTCCACTGTTAAAAGATCGTCAAAAAAATTCTTAAAAGTTAAAAACATCGTCAAAACATTGCCTGGAGGAATTAAAAGTTCCTTAAAAAATAGTTCGAGTTAAAAAGATCGTCAAAAAATGCTCGAGAGTTAAAAATCTGTCAAAAAAAAAAAATATCTCGAGAGTTAAAAATAAGTCAATAAAATTCATTGAGTGTTAAAAGATATCAAAAAATTGTTCAGAAGTTGGAAAAAAAATGCTCGAGAGTTAAAATATCGTTAAACGTTTTTTTGCGCTCAACCTTCTTTTTGCGCCTAAAAATAGTTCCAGTGTTAAAAGATCGTCAAAAAAAACTCTTAAGAGTTAAAAACATCGTCAAAACATTGCCCGGGAATTAACAGTTCGTCAAAAAATAGCTAGAGTTAAAAAATCGTCAAAAAAATGCTCGAGAGTCAAAAGTCTGTCAAAAAAATAACTCGAGAGTTAATAATAAGTCAAAAAATTCATTGAGAGTTAAAATATCGTCAAACGTTTTTTAAAAATAGTTCCAGTGTTGAAAGATCGTCGAAAAAATATTCTTAAGAGTTACAAACATCGTCAAAACATTGCCCAGGAATTAAAAGATCGTCAAAAAATAGCTCGAGTTAAAAAAATCGTCAGAAGTATGTCAAAAAATAACTCGAGAGTTATAAATAAGTCCAGAAATTCATCGAGTGTTAAAATACATCAAAAAAATGTTTAGAAATTGAAAAAAAAATGCTCAGATAAAATATCGTCAAACGTTTTTTAAAAATAGTTCCAGTGTTAATAGATCGTCAAAAAAAATTCTTAAGAGTTACAAACATCGTCAAACCATTGCCCTGGAATTAAAAGATCGTCAAAAAATAGCTCGAGTTAATAACATCGTCAAAAAAATGCTCGAGAATCAAATTCTGTCAAAAAATAACTCTTAAGAGCTAAAAACAGTCAAAAATTTATCGAGTGTTAAAAGATATCAAAAAATTGTTCAGGAGTTGAAATATCCTCAAAAAATATCAAGAGTTAAAAGATCGTCAAACGGTTTTTTGCGCTCAACCTTTTTTAGCTTTTTTTTTGTCGTTTAATTTTTTTTGGCTTTTTTTTGTTTAACTTTTTTTGGCTTTCAACTTGTTTTACTACCGTACATGAACCCAAGAAGAATTTGATGTTAGCCATTTTTTATTCGTTTTTTATCGTTTTTTTAATAAATTTAGAACCTGTGATGGACAGAGAGACCGAGTCCGGCTATCACGCTCTTCAAGATACGGTAGAGAAATACCTCAACCATTCCGCATATTCTTTGGTAGATTTGACAAGTGTGTTTATGGCTATGGATGTGCACACAACGAGACAGCGTCAAGAAGCGTATTCCAAAATTCTTGAAAATCACAACGACTTGGATGAAGATGACGCGGACGAGGAAGTTTAAGCGATACTATTAGTGCTTTACATCTCTTTATAGAATTTGCGAAAATTTATTTAATTTCTGCGAAATTTAGATTGTTATTTATTTTTAATCGTTTACAATATAAGTTCAATTTTAATTTGATTCGACTCTTATTTTTAAACCTTAAATCCAATCCTAAAAATGCAATTGACTAAAAAAATCGTCAAAATATTGCTCGAATGTTAAAAGATCGTCAAAAAGTTAATACTAAAAGATCGTCAAAAAATTATTAGTGTTTTTTACGTTTTACGTTTTTTTACGCTCAGCCTTCTTTTTGCGCCTACAAATAGTTCGTGTTAAAAGATCGTCAAAAAAAATTCTCAAGAGTTAAAAACATCGTCAAAACATTGCCCGGAAATTAAAAGATCGTCAAAAAATAGCTCGAGTTAAAAAGATCGTCAAAAAAATGCTCGAGTGTCAAAAGTCTGTCACAAAAATAACTCGAGAGTTAAAAATAAGTCAAAAAATTCATCGAGTGTTAAGATGTCAAAAAATTGTTCAGAAGTCTGATTTTTTATTTGTATTATAAATGATAAGGGTAGCTCATCTTTGTTTTACCCAATGCTTGAACTGTTAGACGTGTTAGATGATAATGAACATATTGAAACAAAAATATATAATAGTTTTAAAAATTATTTTCAGAAGAGAGTTAATGATGACAGCAGCTTAGGTTTAGGAGTGATTCATTTTAATATTCTAAGTATAAGAAAACATTTTGATGAATTAAAGATATATATTCAAATGGCAGAAGAGTATTTAGATATAATTATACTATCAGAAACAGGAATAATTGATTGTTTTAGTAATTTCTCAATCCCAAATTACACTCAATACTATAATGAATCAATAATAAATAAATGCGATGGCGTTGTCGTTTACGTAAAAAACAACATCTCAGCGGAGGTTGTTGTTACTCCAATTAATCAATTTAAATTTTTGAGAATAATTCTCACGACAAACAATTTAAAAAATAATAAAGTGGGACTGACGGCCTACTATAGATCCCCCTCGACTAAAATATCTTCTTACTTAAATGATTTAGAAATTTACCTAGATCAATTAAAGAAACAAAACTTAGAAATATACCTGGGTGACATAAATATTAATTTGTTAAATAGTGACTGTAATGATACAAATAATTACTTAAACACCTTAGGATACAATGGATTCATATCATATATAAACAAACCAACCATAGTCACAAATGACTCAAAATCAGCCATTGATCATATTTTTATAAGAACGGAAGGTTGTTAAAAAAATCAAATAAAAACTGAAGCCATTATTTTCTGTACAGATATGACAGACCATTTCACACCATATGCATATTTCACTTTAAAAAAAAATAAATCAATCAAGCAATAGAAAAAAAAAACTATTCAAAAAATTAATCACAATAAATTAAATCAACTATTAAAAAATGAATGGTGGGAAAATGTTACATTAGAAAATAACGCACAACTTTCTTATAATATATTTATTAAAACCCTTATAGATCTTATTAAATCATGCACAAGCGATCAAATAATTAAAAAAAGGTACAATAAGCTAAAACCTTGGATTACAACAGGTCTCATAGACTCTATAAACAAACGAGACCAACTAAAAAAAAAAACTATTAAAAAATTATTCTGAACCCCTTAAACAAGAGTACATTAATTATAGAAATAGACTTAACTCATTAATAAAAAAGACTAAAAACGATTATTACAAAGCTGAAATAAATGAAGCTGGAACCAATTTAAAAAAAATCTGGAATATAATTAATAATATCACAGGTGGAGAAGCTAAAAATACAAATAAAATAGAAAATACTAATATATTATTAAAAAATGGCACAACACTAAATGATAATACAAAAAAGCTAAGGAATTTAACAAATTTTTTGCCAATGTTGGTAAAAATATGTCAAAAGCAATTCCAAAATTTGGCTTAACTGATAATTTTTTAAATGATACGGTAGTCGAACAATCAATATTTCTCGAGCCAGTAACCCCTAAAGAACTAATTATAATAATTTCAAACTTAAAAAATAACTGTGCTCCAGGTCCAGATAAGATAAATTCAAAAACTATCAAATCCATTCATAATTACATACTAGATCCTCTATGTTACATCGTCAATCAATGTTTCTCAACCGGAGACATTCCGCAACAATGGAAAGTATCAAATATTACACCCATCTTTAAATCAGGTAAATCTAACCAAACGGATAACTACAGGCCAATATCAGTTATAAATAACTTTGCTAAATTGTTTGAACAATGTCTAAAAAAACGATTAATAGATTTCTTTAATAAACATAAGTTAATAACGGATAGACAATTTGGATTTGTAAAAGGTTCCAATACTGAAAATGCTATAATGGATTTTGTTAACTTAGCGGTGAAGGCCATGGACAGTTCATTAAAAAGTATAGCAGTTTTTTTAGACCTTGCCACACAATTTATTATTACAAAAATTAAATAATTATGGCATTAGAGGTATAGCTTCGGATTTAATGAAAAACTACTTGACTGATAGAATACAAAGAGTTAAAATTGGCAATGTAATAAGTTCCGATTGTAATGTTCTAACTGGAGTACCGCGGGGACCATATTAGGATCAATACTATTTCTTGTATATATAAATAATATAACCAAAATTAACAATTTTAAAGGTCATATAGTTTGTTACGCCGATGATACAGCACTAATATTTACTGAAACAACATGGGAAAAAGCCCAAAAAATAGCGGAAACTAACTTGAAAAAAATCCATAACTGGCTAAATAATAATAAGCTATCACTTAATGTTAATAAAACTAAATATATTACGTTTTCCCCAACAGTAGTAGATCAACCAAACAACTTAATTATTAAATTCCACAAATCACAGTGTAATCCCAGACAACACACCAAATCCCAGAGATATCCACAGAATATCTTTTGTGGATATCCAATATATCCACAGGATATCAGAAATATTCCGTGGATCTAATATGGATATCCAAATGTCCGTCTATATCCAGAATATAGAAAATATCCTAATGGATATCCAGCAAAATATCTAATGGGTATCTTCCAGAAAATACAAGAAATCCCAGAGATATCCACATAATATATTTTGTGGATATTCAATATATCCAATATGGATATCCAACCAAATGTCCGTCTATATCCCAGGATATAGAAGATATTCGGATATTCAGCAACATATTTTATCTTAAGTAGAGGTTCATAAGTAACCAATGATTATTGAATAACGTCGAAAGAAAATAGCAGAGATAAAAAATATTTTCAACACTCAAAATATTTTCAACACTCTGCCTTTGATTTTGCCCACTAAGGAGGAGAAAGTCATCCTTATTAGGACTCTTCAGCAATAAATGGAAGTTCTCGACTCCAGTCTCTAATGGAGTTTGTAGGACAAAAATTTCGATCGAACTCTATTACGGCGGGTCGAGCATGAGTAGATGCGATAGTGGTATCGCCATCTATACTTAGTAAGCAAAATCAAAAATTACATCTAGTGGATATCCACGATGGTTTGCGTTCGCGCCTAGACTTTGATATATTTAGTGGATGTCCATGGGATATTGAATACACCTTAAAAAAAATTAATTTTAAATATCTGAACGGTACTATTAGCCACAATGGCGTAATTTTGTAATAATTTGCTATATAATTACTATTATTTATGGACATTTGCATGTCTATAAATTACATATCATGGATATAAAATAGATATCCACCATGGACTGGACATTCAGTAGATATTGGGATGTGCAGTAGATATCCAAAGGATTTGGTGTGCTGTCTGGGATAAAGAAAAAGATTGTTACTGTCAATCTATACAAAAAAACAAATTCACTAAAATACCTTGGAGTCATAATAGATCAAAATTTAAGATGGTCTGAGCATATTGGATATGTAACAAAAAGAATCCGAATTTTGATGCACAAATTCTATGAAATGCGTGATATATTAACTAAAAAAAATTTAATTATAGTGTTGAATCAATTATTAGGTATTGCATTACTGCCTGGGGCGCAACATTCAAAACAACACTCAATCCACTGCAAATATCACAAAATATAATACTAAAAATAATTTTTAAAAAAGAGAGACTTTATTCCACACAAAACTTATATCAAGAAACTAATCTTTTAAATATTAGGTCAAGTTATATTTTTTACCAATGTCTCCTAAGAATGTTTGACCAACAAATTAAATGCCCTCAACAAAACATAAAAGAAACACGTTCTAAACTGAATCTAAATGTAACAACAGATTTATTTAAAAAAACTGTTACTCAGAACTCCTTTCTTTTCTTTGGGCCGAAATTATTTAATGTACTACCTAAACATATAAAAGAAATAAAAATATATAAAACATACAAAATAGAAGTAAAAAAGTATATACTCAATCATCCTTATATATTTCTGATGTTCTCATGATAATAACAGCTGTTAAAATTATTTAAGATAATTTAACCATAAATTAATAACTGATTCTCCGAAGCTGCCATCATTACCTCTCTGAAAAAATCACAATTCAAAATGTCTTTATACGTGAAAACTAGATATAAAACACTACATAACACCCTTAAATACTGTAAACACAGCGCCTCATAAAATTGCTTCACACAGGACAGGCAACCATGCCTAGAGTGGTAGCCATTTTATGAGACGCTAACTAATTGTAAAGTAATTGTATATAAATGTATATTAAAAAAAATGTTAATAAATAAATAAATAAAATAAATAATTAAACATAACGAAACATATTGTAATAAAAAATTTAATTCGATTTGTGAATATTATATGAACCACATTATATTTGCTTTTAGTGATTGTTAATATAATAATAAGCACTGAAATTTTGATGGTAATCCATATAATGAATTCAATATGAAAATTAACCTTTGTTAATATAACATTGTACAATAATAATTGATTTAATTTTCATTGTTATGTTATAATGTTTGATTTTCCTAAAAAGTTAATAAATAACAAATTTATATAAATTCTTTGAAAATAAACAAAACCATTTTTAATAAAAAAAAAAAAAAGTTGAACAAAAATGCTCGAGAGTTAAAATATCGTCAAACGTTTTTTTGCTGTTAACGTTTTTTTTGCGCCTAAAAAATAGTTCCAGTGTTGAAAGATCGTCAAAAAAAAATTCTCTAGAGTTTAAAACATCGTCAAAACATTGCCCGGGAATTAAAAGATCGTCAAAAAATAGCTCGAGTTAAAAAGATCGTCAAAAAATTGTTCAGAAGTTGAACAAAAATGCTCGAGAGTTAAAATATCGTCAAACGTTTTTTTGCGGTTAACGTTCATTTTGCGCCTAAAAAATAGTTCCAGTGTTGAAAGATCGTCAAAAAAAAATTCTCTACAGTTTAAAACATCGTCAAAACATTGCCTGGGAATTAAAAGATTGTCAAAAAATAGCTAGAGTTAAAAAGATCGTCAAAAAAATGCTCGAGAGTCAAGTCTGTCAAAAAAAATAACTCTAGAGTTAAATTTGACTTCTATTTTTAAACCTTAAATCCAATTTTCTTCAGCATCCCAAAAACGCAATTAACTAAAAAAAAAAACTATAAAAAATTGCTCGAATGTTAAAAGATCGTCAAAAAATTATTAATATTAAAAGATCGTCAAAACATTATTAGTGTTAAAAGATCGTCAAAACATTGCCCGGTAGTTAAAGATCGTCATAAAATAGTTGCAGGATTAAAATATAGTCAAACAAATTCTCAGAGTTAAAAGATCGTCAAAAAAGTTTGAAAGTTCAGATAAGATTGAAGGTGTTGAAAATGCTTGAAAGAAAGTAAAAAAAGACGTGGATTAAAACAGAAATTTATTATTATAATAATGGAACAAAATTAAACTAACAAATAAAAGTACGCCTTAATTTTGATTACCCAAATACAGTAAATGTTAATTTATTAATGATTGAAACATATATCTACGACCAAAAGTATATTAAACATTAAAGGAACAAAATTACGCAAATAAAAAATATATAAGTAATTGCACTTAAAGCTTGATTAACACTATTCTAGAAATAAGCTGAAAGAAACAATGACAAAGTATAAAACGAAGCAGCTAAAGCTAAATAAACAAATTTTGAAGGTCGATCAATTGTTGGCTGAAAGTAGATTGATGCACCGATCGATGTCAGACAATTGCAAAAGGAACTTCGCGTCTCTAAGCACCCCGCCGGCGTTCCTGATGATGGTCAACAATTTGTTTTCCGGTAGGTTCAGTTGTTCATTGCATATCGATAACTTTTCCATTAATCCTTTATCGATCTGAAAAAAAAACGAAATTAATTTTTTCTAAATTTCCTAAAATTTAACTGAACTATAGAAAAAGTGTTATAGTCCGGGAGTATTCGAAACAATTTCGACTAAACTCACCTCCGGTTTCATGATGTCAGAAAACTTGACTTTAATCCGCTGCTTGCCCATATTTTGGTAAAATATGGTGAATTCATCGCCGTTCATCAACAGTTTGAAGTAGACGCCGGCAATTAACTCGCCTTTTTGGTCTCGCGACAGCAAGCTCCTGAATCCGTACACCAGATTTCTACGTTCCGTGACGTCGACGGCCGTCAAGTACGGCCTGCCGACGTAGATGACGCCCACGAAATTTTCTTCTTTACCCTTACGGGTCGTTCTTTCGTTCCATTCCACGAAGTGCCTGTTGTTTGGGGTCAGCTGGTAGTTGTACTCCTTGCGTATGTCGTTTTCCTCGGATTGAATGAACCATCCTGCAAAGGAACGAAATAATAATTCAGGACTATATTTTTATAATTAAATTAAAAAACTTTAAAACAATTTTCAAACAACACAGAAATTTTAATATTTTTTTACTTTATTCCCTGAACTATAAAAGGCTTAATAATCATCATAGTACAGGAAAAGTTATTATAGACAAAGTTAAAAGTTTTATATCGATTTCAAGAAAAACAAGTACTTAGCAGTGTACCTGTATGGTTTAATGAAAACAATCTTATTACAGCTAAGTACTGATGACTATTCACTCGAAAGCGCTATGCTAATAGACATATTTTAAATATTTTACAAGAAATACTCGTCATTTCTTTATAATATCGATGTTACAATTTGTAGGATTTATTTCCTGGTCTATAAAAGATTTAACAAAAAAAAAGTTCCAAGGATTCAGAAATCGAGTATAATTTTCGTTTGAAAATATTTTCCTATTATTTCCTGGTCTACGAAATGTGTAGTCAACGATAGTCGAGGAACAAATGTTTAGAATGACGTTAAGTCATAATTTAAGATTTTTTGCCTTTATTCCTTGTACTATGAACGGCTTAATAGTACAGGAAAAGCTAGCATAACCAAAGTTTTATTTACAATATTTCGACAATTTAAAATGTTTTAAATATAATATCTTTATTAATTTAATAATTATTATTTGATACTCAATGTGTATGGTCATTAAAGACCGGACATTTTAATCGCGTTCAAATAATTGGTTTTAATCACATAGGCGTCTCATTCTGGGTTCGCTATTTAAGACGGCAGACAGTGCGGCAGATTCTAATACTATCAGGACAAACCTCTTTTTTTTATTAAAACAAGATAAAAAAAGTGTACTGATATATACATAGACATTAAAACTAATACAAAAAAGTGAGATTTTTTTTTATCGTGTACCTATATTCTTTGTCTTTTGAATCATTTTCATTAAACAAATTTAATGTTTTCTTCTCACCAACGCCGAGGATATGTAGGATATTTTACAAAAGTTTTTAGTAACCTCAGATCCTTTAATTTGTGGCCTGAGAAATTTTCCTTAAAAAAAAATAACTTTTTTGATGAAGATGTTAAACTTTTCATAAGCGAGTTTAAGGTGTAGTAATGTAAACGATATTCTGTATGATATTTTTTTTATTATTATCTCTTATATAATTACAAAATATCTATTCCTCAATATTTTGGCGTGGTACACTACTCTCCTGCCTAAAATGAGGATCGAGGACCCCAGCTGCCTCCCCCGAATTTGTTATTTCCTCCAGAAAATTGGAAATTTCTAGCCTTAGCTGGTCCCGATTCATTGTTGGAGAAATTGCATCGGGGCCAAATATTAGGACTCTACGAGCGTTTGGACTAAGACGCTGTAGAGAGGGCCTAAAATGAATGTCAAATAGGCCCATCATATGTTGTCTTATACTTTCTCGATCCATTGTCGGTTAGTTGCCGGTGATATTTTTATTCAAATAAAGTCAATCCTTATATTATATTTATGAATATTTTGGCTTTTATCGATACCGTACATACCGATTTTTTGTAACAAAAAATTTATGTTTTTATTTCCTGTGGATATTATGGTACTTATACACGATGAGACAATAAAATAAATGTCTGTTAAATTTCTGTAATGTATGTATTAATTCAATTGCTCACTCTATATAGGTATCTGTTGGTTGAAAAAATGTAAAAAGATAACAAAGAGTCGATAAACAGGAGATTTGAGAAGAAAGTGTCTTGTAAAAATATCACTAGATTTTTCCAATGAGTATATTTGTTTAGTTCAAAGGGAAAAGTGATAGAAACTGGAAACGTAAATATGGAAAATTTATTATCGGACTTTGATTGTTTTCGTCGTTTTAATGACAACAAATTATACTGCCGCAATTGTGATCAGGTGTTAGTTTTTAATGGAAAGTCAAGTATGACACAACATGTGAAAACACAAAAACACATGCAATCTTTAGAGGGATGTCCAGACAAAATCTTTTATGAAGATTTATGCAACGCATTTGTTTCTGCAAATATTCCATTAACAAAATTAAATAATACAATTTTCAAAAATTTTCTTTGTAAATATACTAAACGTAAAATACCGGATGAATCCACAATTAGAAAACATTATATTCAAAATCAGTACGATAAAGCAATGACGGCAATAAAAACGAAAATTTCCAGCAAATATATTTGGGTTAGTGCAGATGAAACGACTGACATAAAGGGTAGATGTGTTGTTAATGTTGTTGTAGGATTATTAAGTGCTGAAAATACTTCACAACAGTATTTAGTTTCTAGTGTGTTTCGTGAAACTGTGAACGCTGAAATGATTTATGAAATAGTGAAACGTGGATTGAACAATGTAATTGATAATGACGTTTCAAAAGTTTTATTGTTTATTTCAGACGCGGCAAGTGTAATGTTGAAAACAGGGAAACTATTACAAGAACATTTTCCAAACATGCTGCATGTAACTTGCCTTGCTCACGCGTTACACCGAGTTTGTGAGTTTATCCGTGACAGCTTTCCAGACATTAATTCGTTGATTAGCTGTTTTAAAAAAATTTTGTTAAAAGCACCGTCCCGAGTTTCTTTATATAAAGAAATATGTCCGAATATCCCCCTACCTCCACAACCAGTTATTACACGATGGGGAACTTGGTTACAGGCTGTGTTCTTTTTTTCGGAGCATTTCGACAGACTAAAAGTATTTATTTCCAACTTATCAGAGGACGCTCTCTCTATCACTCAGTGTAAAGGTTTAATAACAAAAACAACTTTGCAGTCGGAGTTAAATTTTCTTGCGACTTATTTTTCGTGTCTCCCAGAAACTATAAAATTCCTTGAAACCCGTAACTTACAATTATCGGTTGCTATGGAAAAATTTGAATCGACATTGTTACACTTAAAAAACGTAAAGTGGCCCTTACAAGATAAATTTAACCATAAAATAGATTGTGTTATTAAAAGAAATCCAAATTTACAGACTCTGAAACAAATCTCCCTGAACAATTTTAACGATTATGAAACTGCTTTAAAATATTGTGATTTTGTTCCACATTTTTCATTTGCTCCTGTAACGAGTTGTGACGTAGAACGATCGTTTTCTAGGTTTAAAGATTTATTGACTTCTAAAAGAAGTAATTTCACTGAAGACAATTTAGAAAAATATGCAGTCATACAAACATATTTTTCAAATGAAGAAGATTGATATTAATTTGTATTGTATATATTGTATATAATTGTATATTTGCTACTTTAGGATAAAGAGTGTATATTGGAACACTCTAAACATAAAACTAATGATGGTGTATCCTCGTTGATATATTTATTAGTCAATAATATATTAACAGAAAAAGCCAACAACATTATCCCACAACACAATAAAAAAATAAATAATAATATCATTTGTAATTATATAATAATATCCAACCAAATTTGAACTAAAATTTAATAAAATAATTATTGCAATGTAAATGTAATAATAAGCCCGCCCCAAATGTTACGCCCGGGCGATAAAAATCCAATATCTTATCTACTGTGTCGACCAGTTCAGTAAATAACTTGTTTTATTCAGAATGTATTATTCAAATCGAAGGTCCGCTCTTACCGTTACTTCGCTGATAAGAATAAATTAAATTGTCCGGTCTTTAATGATCATTTATGTAGTTGTGTACATTTTTTAAAAATAAATGTATTAAAATATAGTACAGGAAAATTTGGCAGCAATTTGGAAAAAATTGCTTAAAATCTTACCGGTATGTGGATAAGCCCCGTCAGCCATAACAGTAACCACCCTAGCGACATGATAACCCGGATCGCACAGCATAACGGCCGTCCTTCCAGAAAATTCCACCTTCAAACACATCAGGACGTGCTCCTTTTCCAAATTATGCGGCACGCTGCTGGGATCGAAGCCGCAGGAATTCGTGTATCCCACGGGACTGTCGACGTCCTCTTCGCAGGATACGACGAAAATGTGATTGCCGATACCCGGATATTTGGATTCCAGCTTGATCAGCAAACGGTTCCACAATTCGAAGGCCAGTCCCACGCATGTGTAATGCTCCGATGTTATTGGAGGAGAATATCTGCAAAAAAAAATAAGTTTTCTGTAAAAAATACCTGAAGTGACACTACAATTGGCTTTATATTTTTGTTGGTTTTATGTATCGAGCCAATTTCATTAAATTCTAATTATTTTATTATTGTAATATACTTACAAGTGGAAAAACTCAAGTAAGTTATCCATGCTGCTCTTCTTGAAACTATCGTAGAACTTCAAAAAGTTGCCGATGGTATCATAATTGTGCTCTTCCAACACCTTGCGCAGATGCATCTCGATTTCGCACGCCAACGTCTCGTACTCCCTGACGTTCTTCACCCTGTAGGGTACGGCGTACTCCTCGTCCCAGCACGGCAGGGGCAGGGGGTGTTCTAGAGGCCACACGCCGTCGTCCTGCTCATCGTCGATGAGCTGCGCCAACGTGTCGCTGCTCGTCGCAGTGGCGGCGCCGAAGCGGTACTGGTTGGTTAAGACATCCCCGTGAGCCCCGTAGGCGGGCTCATTCGACCCTAGGACGGGTCCATCTTTAGACCAAGCATTCTGGGTTTCGAGTCAACTTGGCCATTCGCAGCCCCAGCGGCCGACCATTGGTTCCAGGGATCTGAAAAATCGATTCGTTTCACTGTTAGTTTCATTTTAATATTTTCTCATTGTTGCCTGGACTATTAAAAGGCTTAATAATCATCATAGCACAGGAAAAGTTGGTACAACCAAAGTTATAATGCAATTTTTTGCTATATTCCCTGGGCTAAGAAAGGATTAACAATCATTATAGTACAGGAAAAGTTAGTATAACAAAAGTTCAAAGTTTTATATCGACTAAAAGAAAAACAAGTGGATTCAAGGATTTTATGAAAAAACTCACTTGTTACAGATAAGAACTAATGATGACGATTAATTCGAATACGGTAAGCTAAATTTTGAAAATTTTACACAAAATACTCGACTTTTCTTCATTATATCGATAATTTTTTGCTAGATTAACGTAAGCGACATTTGTCCAAATGGCACTTACGATAGTCTGGCAAAAAGGTATCGATATCGACATTTGTATTTACTGGTCTATATAAGAATTAACAATAAAAAGTTCCAGGTATCCGGAAATCTGACAAATAAGTGTTATATTAGTTTTTTTCTATTATTTCCTGGTCTACGAAATGTATAATTAATGATAGTCAAGGAAAAAAACGTAAAGAGATTTAAATCGCGATTTTAAGATTTTTTACCAAATTTTCCTGAACTATGAACGGGTCAACAATCATCAAAGTTACTATAACAGTTATCAAAGTTAAAATTTGATTTCATAATTTTACATTATTTCCGGGTCTATAAAATATATAGAACAAATCGGACAAATCAAGTGTTTTATTTTTAATTTTTTTATAGTATCACTTTACTAAATGTGTAGTTAAAGATAATCAAGGAAATTTAAAAAAAAGGACTTATTCGCGATTTTAAGATTTTTGCTATTATTCTCTGGACTATAAACGGCTTCAAAGTTAGTATAACCAAAGTTAAAAGTTTTATATCGATTTTATAGTTTTTTTATATTATTTACTGGTTTATATAAGAATTAAAATAAAAATAGTTTCATGGATCCAGAAATCGGACAAATCAAGAATTATTTCCATTTTATTTCTCTTATTATTATTTCCTGGTCTACGAAATGTGTATTCAATGATAGCCAAGGAAAAAAACGTTAAAAAATGCTTTAAATCGCAATTCTTAAATTTTTGCAATTATTCTCTGGACTATAAAAGGCTTAACAATCAACAAAATTAGTATAACCAAAATTAAGAGTTTTATATCGATTTTACATTTTTTTTATAATATTTACTGGTTTATATGAGAATTAATATAAAAACAGTTTCATGGATCCAGAAATCGGACAAATCAAGAGGTATTTTCATTTTATTTTTCTTATTATTATTTCCTGGTCTAAAAAGTGGATCCTAAGTAAAATTTGAATTTTACAATTTTTCCTTTTTTGTTCCTAGTCTAAGAAAATCTGCAGTCAATGAAAGTTAAGGAAGAAATGTTAAAAACGGCTCTATCATAATATACGTAAAAAAGGGCTTTAAATCGCGAATTTTAGATTTTTTACCATTATTTCCTGAACTATAAACGGACTCAACAATCATCAAAGTTAGTATAACAGTCATCAAAGTTAAAATTTGATTTTACAATTTTTTCAACATTATTTCCTGGTCTATAAAATATATAGAAAAAATTTCCAGGATCTGGAAATCGGACAAATCAAGTGTTTTATTTTTAATTTTTTTATAGTATTACTTTACTAAATGTGTAGTTAAAGATAGTCAAGGAAATATTTTTTAAAAAAGTACTTAATCGCGATTTTAAGATTTTTGCTATTATTCTCTCGACTATAAACGGCTTAACAATCATCAAAGTTAGTATAACCAAAATTAAAAGTTTTATATCGATTTTACAATATTTTTATATTATTTACTGGTTTATTTAAGAATTACCATAAAAAAGTTTCATGGATCCATAAATCGGACAAATCAAGAGTTATTTTCATTTTATTCTTATTATTATTTTCTGATCTACAAAATGTGTATTCAATGATAGTCAAGGAAAAAAACGTTAAAAGCGGCTGTAAATCACGATTCTTAATTTTTTGCCATTATTCCCTGGACTATAAAGGCCTTAATAATCATAATAGCACAGGAAAACTTAGTATAACCAAAGTTAAAAGTTTTATATCAATTTTACAATTTGTCGTTATTATTTTACAAAGAACGTTCAAAGGATCCGAAATAAAATTTGTATTTTACAATTTATTCCTGTTATTTCCTGGTCTAAGAAAATTGTAGTCAATAAAAGTTAAGAAAAAAATGTGAAAAACGGGTATATCATATTAAGATTTGTTATCATTTTTCTTTGGACTATGAACGGCTTAAAAATCATCATAGAACAGGAAAAGTTAATATAACCAAAGTTAAAAATGTTATATCAATTTTTCGTTTGAAGATTTGAATTTTTCAATTTTTTCCTATTATTTCAATGATATGGTCAAGGGAAAATGTTAAAAACTGTTACAAGACAATTTTAAGATTGTTGTTATTCCCTGGACTATGAACGGCTTAACATTTATGATAACAAGGGAAAAGTTAGTATAACCAAAGTTGAAAGTTTTTTATCGATATTATAATTGGTCGACATTATTACCTGGTCTATAAAATATTTTAAAAAAGGTCAGAGAATCCGAAAATCGAAAAAAAATCAAGTCTTATTACTTTTAAAATGTTTTCCTAATATTTCCTGATCTATGAAATGTGTAGTCAATGAAAGTTAATGAAAAAATTTAAAAACAGCTTTATCATAATATTAAAATTTGTTGTCATTTTTGTCTGGACTATAAACGGCTTAAAAATCATCATAGCACAGGAAAAGTTAATATAACCAAAGTTAAAAGTGTTATATTAATTTTTCGTTGTTTCCTGGTCTATAAAAAGATTTAACAAAAAAGTTCAAAGGATCCCAAGTAAAATTTGAATTTTACAATTTTTTCTTATTATTTCCTGGTCTAAGAAAATTTGTAGTTAATGATGGTTAAGAGAAAATGTTAAAAACTGTTATAATTTTAAGATTGTTGTCATTCCCTGGACTATGAACGGCTTAACATTCATGATAACACAGGAAAAGTTAATATAACCAAAGTTAAAAGTTTTATATCGATATTATAATTTGTCGACATTATTACCTGGTCTATAAAATATTTTAAAAAAGAACAATCCGGAAATAAAAAATAATCAAGTATTATTTTAATTTTAAAATGTTTTTCTAATATTTCCTGATCTATAAAATGTGTAGTCAATGATGGTTAGGAAAAACTTGTTAACAACGATTTCAAATTAAATCGTTGGAATATTATTTTAATTTTACGATTTTTCCTGTTTTTTGGTCTATTAAATGTTTAGTAAATGATAAACATGAATTCAAATTAAATGGTTTGTATGATTTTAATATTAATTTTTTTTCAATTATTTCCTGGTCTATAAAAGATTTAACAATGATAGCACAAAAAATGTAAAAAGTTCCGGGATCCAGAAATCAAATAACTCAAGGGTTCTTTTAATTTTATATTTTTTGTTATTATTCCTTGGTCTATCAAATTTTTAGTCAATAATAGCCAAGGAAAACTTTTTAAAAATAAGTTCAAATTAAATCATTAGGATATTTAAAGATTAAATTTTTTGACCTTTTTTTCCTGGTCTATAAAATATTTAACAATGATAGTAAAAAAATCCAAGATTTGCAAATCGAATAACTCCCGTGTTATTTTAATTTTAAAATGATTTCCTATTATTTCCTCTATGGAAACCGTAAATGATAACCAGGAAAAGTTGATAAACATTGCTTCAAATTAAATTGTTCGAATGCTATCTTAATGTTACATTTTTGGACTTATTTCCTGATCTATAAAAGATTTAACAATTATAGTTTCTAAAAAAGTGTTATTTCAATTTTACAATTTTTTTATTTATTTCTTGGTCTATGAAATGTTTAGTCAATGATAGTCGAGGAAAAGTCGATAAAAACTTCTATAGTTATTTTAATTTTACAAATTGCAACACTTATTTCCTGGTCTATAAAATGTTTCAAGTTATAGTAGAGGAAACGCGATTAAAAAAAAATATACTTACTTAGAACTCGTTTCGCCGATAGGCAAGAGGGGGCCAGCGAAAGCCGCGTTCCCATTAGACTTGTGCCCAGCTGCATTTTGATCAGCTGTACACAAAGACTTTAACGGCTGTATATCACGCTCTGAAAAAAGAAACCAAAATATTTGATTAATTCATACTTTAGATTGTTAAAAATGACGTATTAGCTCTAAATACCGTGCTTGGCAACGTCTCGTTTATAAACCTTAGTGATTCATTAAATATACGTTATTAGAGCAGATATTCGAATTATTTTTTTTTTAACTTTTTCCTTCAATTGTGATAATAATTATTATAGAAGTAAACAAATTCTGCATAGATACCTACATATTGGAAATGATAAAACATTTTTTACCGTAATAGGTACCTATGTAGTTTCTATAAAATTAATATTTTTGTTTTTTTAATAAAAAATGTAAAGTAATACAATTTTAATTGCTTTACACGAAATAAGTAATTGTGTAACTTATGTTTCATAATATTATTATAATTTTTGGGAAATACCTAATATGGCTACAACATCATTATTTATGTAGATAGGTACACATAACGATTTAAAATTAGAAAGTAGACAACGTTGCTATATTATTATCATTATTATTATCAGACCTGTGTCAGTAGCAGGAATTCCAGTAAAATTGCTGATGATTTCATAACTTTACGTAGGTATTTCCAACGTTGGTTTTATCGCACGTTTTCACAACGTGACTCACTATACCAGGTAAATTGAAAATGTTTTAAATTCAATTTCTTTCGCAATATTTTTAAAACTATCACAAATTATAAGGAAGAACATTTAATCTTCTAAAGAACTGTACGTTTCCAGAAGTGTAATTATTAACAATAAAAAATTATAAAACCAAACAATATTTTAAAATATTTTTTGCCTTTTTTAGTTACGTCTATTTGACAGAGCTAATAATACAGCTGTTAATCTGGCTGTAAAATCCATTTTGTTGCCAAAAGAAAGTGGAAAGCATCAATTAAAAAAACTGGCATCAATTTTCCACATAGTTTTGTATGGTACGTCAGGATTTATTTTAAAGATACCTGCATATTTATGTTCACATAATGGATTGTTGCATAATTTATCTCCCACTTGTTATTTGTTTATACAAATTTCACAGCACACTTTTTTGATCAAAAAGAGAATAATACAAAACATAATACATTCTATAGGTAATTATGTTTGCAAAATTTAATTGACTTTTGATTAATTTAACTTTTTCCTGACCTGAACAATGGAAATAGATAATGATGTGTTTACGTATAGGTACCCATAATAATTCAATATCTAAATATTTAAAATACCATATTGCTTTTATTTACAAATTATATTTAAGTAAAGTAAAGGTTATTAACCTACTTAGTACATTATAAATAAGAAAGAAATAACTTACCCATACAATGGTAACGACCAAGAAAACAAAAGAAAAGTTAAACCTTCTGCTTCTGTAGCTAACTTGCGCTCTTCTTGCGACAACCGCTTAGAACTGACGTTAATTTTCGCACTGACAACGGTAAATAAATATCCAAAGGTTCGTGTCTCCTCCCACTTTCCGTCTACGTCACGATAGTGGCTCAGTAGGTAAACCCACCGAATGAAAATACACACACGTTTCGTTGATCTACCGAATTTTCGTGGAACTCTGGCGCCGAACGCGAGGGGGAGAAGGGGACCGTGACACTAATAATTATATACGCGTAATTCTCGAAAAATACGTTTAATACTTTTCGGAATGATACACAGTCTGATAATGGTAACTGGAATTCACTAAATTTTTATAAGAACACCAATTTAGAGACGAGATTAATCTCATTATGAACAGCATCTGAAAAACAAAATGAATGCATTAAATTAAATATAGACTGTAAAGAAGGTGTTGCTCAAGGACCAATTCTTGGACATCTACTCTACTTATTACAATTTATACGAACCATCTTACATCAACATTAAGATTTTTATAGTAGATTCGTGATCGAGCCAGAGTAAAAAATCTGTCAGATCAGGAAATTTCAGGTGTGGGTGCCTATATTATTATTTACGGGGTACATAAAATCATAATTTAAAAATATATTTTCTTGAATATGTATTATTGAGTATTATTTCGGTATGTAGGTACTTTACAAAATGTTTTTTGAGTTTTTAATTAAACATTTGAAATTAAATAATAAAATCGCAATATGGGCATAAACATTGCAAGTTATAAGTAATTAAATGTAGAAAAACCTTCAAAGCTACTACTGGCAAACACTAGATACCAAAAAATTGCGTTATCCCTTTATAAAATCCTGTGGTGCGCATGTGGATCTATTACTAATCTACTCGCAAAGTGGATCACAAAATATTGATCCCGATCACAAAACTGCATCAGTAATCTACTAGTTTCCGAACACAGATATTATTAGCCCAGTATAAAGAACAATACAGTAGCGACAGATTGCGTCGGCTTCTTTGATGTCGGGGTGGTCAGATTTTCAATGACAGTTGACGTTTTTGTCGCTTATTTTTACACGGAGAAAAGTAAACTCTAAAATTGCACTTAGAAAAAAATTAAAACATGTACATATAACATTTTAATGTATTCTAGGCAAATAAATTAATCAAAATATTGTGTAACTTAAATAAATCAGTTCCGGTGAAAATCTAGATGTGCCAATTTTAAAATTTTATCATTAGATTAAAATAAATTACTTTTGTATGCCATTCATGTTTCTTCCTGGAACTAATAAATTAACTCAGCACCTTATTTTTTTATTTAAAATGAGGTTATGTAGGTATCTTTTTAGAAGTGAAACAACATAATAACAATAATATTTATTAAAACACACAATTACAAATTAGTAAGTTTTTAATGAATTTACAATATAAGAATTATTTTATTTCAATAAGATTTTCAATTTTTGTTCCTACGTACAAATTTTTGACTTCAGATGAGTTTTAGCAAATGCCTGTTGTAAGTCACCCGTTAAGCACAATGCTGCCCAATTGCTTATATTACCTATACGTATATAATTAAATACTATTTACGTCACATCATAAAAATTAGATGTTAATATTTAACGATTTTATGGTTTAAAATTTCTATGGGAAAGGTTATCTGCTGCGGGATTTAAATATTTAATGGCTAGAAGAATCAACAGTGACTGTCTAGAAAAATTTGTTGGGTCCATTAGGCAACAGGGTGGGAATTTAATTAATCCAACACCTGTACATTTCGAAAGGACATTTAAAAAACTTTTTTGTCAAAATTATCTTCATTGCAATTCCATGAATTGTAATGAAGACCTGGACAAGCACTTGCTACAATTAGATGTAAAAAATATTGTCTCTCTGTATCCTGAAATAAATAAAAACACTCGAGAAGCTGTTTTTCTTCCTAATTACAGCTACAGGACAGAAGATATAATAGTTCAAAATCCATTTAAATATGTTTGTGGCTATTTGATCAAAACAGCTTTAGGCATGCATGGATGTGATACATTTATTTGGATAGTTCACAGATTTTAACATATGATTGCAAATAAAGCACTTATGGAGGCCTAAAAACTCCAAATGAAAACTTTATTATCTATATATTTAAATTATAAAAAAAATTTATATCTTTTTAGCAATACCTGTGTAATGTCTGGTATATCGCATAGCTTTTTTTGATATTATGAAAGAAAGAGAATTTAATCATCCTTGTCCTAATTTCCCTAACGTATATATCATACAACTGTTTATAAGATTATATATTGTTAGAAAACGAAGGGGGTATAAATATTAATTAAAATTAAAAATCCAAATATGAGTAAACACTACTATAATCGTATGAATATTGAATACAAAAAAAAAATAATGACGTAGCGAGTGGCCAGTAAGTCTGCGCAGAGAGATCGACCACGTTGATTGTACTTTTCAGAATGCCCTGTGAAACACCAACATGATGCCGACGAAAAAGGTCGGGGTATTTACGCATCGTTATCAACACGTGCTTATCTCCCTGACCAGAGGCGACTCTAGGTAAAATTGCTAACAATATATTATTGTTTAAGTGCTTAAATATTGTATAAATGAAACAAATCAAAAATTAAAAATCTGATGTGCCCAACACATGACTTTCCTATCTAGTTATTATAGGCTTTTTCCGGTTATTTTGTACAACCTATTGCAGCATCTCTATAAATGTTTAGAGGATAAACTAAATATATACATTGTCCACATACATCTACCTCGAAACATTTTTCTATAGATATTCATTGAAAACGAAAATACTGAAAAATTTAAATAAATTTACTACAATTCCTACAATTTTTCCATTACGGTCCATTTTAGAAAAATCATGTATAAACAAAAATTATAGAGATCGATATCGCAAACAACTTTTAGTTCAACAATTTTCATAAAAATCAGAATTTTGCACATTTAGTCAAATTTCTCGAATACGGACCATTTCAGGAAATTTTGACATAAAGCAAAAATTATAGATAATAATATTAGAAGTAACTTTTATTTGAACAATTTTCTTCTCCAAACATAAATAACATATATTCCATAAAATATAAGAACGGCCTCCCATAAAGTACCCCCCTAGATGTTCCGACTTTGTCCAAAATCTAATCATTTCACGTCAGGCCGAAATAAACCTTAAGTTTAAAATTTAATGTTATTTTCTTTATCCGTTTTTGAGTTTTCTTCAAAATTCGAAATTTACGGTCCATTTTAGAGAAATTATGTATAGAATAAAAATTATAGAGAATTATATTACAAACAACTTTTATTTGAACAATTTTTATAAAAAAATATTTTTTTTACATTTTGTCAAATTTCTCGAATACGGACCATTTTAGGAAAATTTTGTATAGAACAAAAATTATAGACAATTATATTAGAAGTAACTTTTATTTAAAGAATTTTCTTCTCCAAACGTAAATAACAGATATATTTCATAAAATATAAAAATGACCACCTATAAAGTACCCCCCCAGATGTTCCGACTCTGCCCAAAATCTAATCAGTTCATTAGACGCTGGAATAAAGCTTAAGTTTAAAATTTGGTGTTTTTCTGTGCATCGGTTCATGAGTTATGCGACCTACAGACACACACACACACACACACACACAGACACACACACACAGACATCATCGCGAAAATAGTCAAAACGGATTCAGGGGACCTCAAAACGTAAAAATCCGTCGAAAACTCGAGGTCGAAAAAAATCATGATTCCTATACTTTCCTTATATCTTTATACAGATAGGAAAGTAAAAAACAGTTAAAATAATAACACCACAAAATACATTTTTTTGTTTTATTTTTGCTACTTTACAAGAAATACATATATATTTTGATTAGATGTAGTCAATCAGAACATTTTTTATCAATGGACATAGTGAATCAAAGAACATCTAATTCATTATAATAATTTGGAGGTAGGATTTTTGATTAAGAATGTCCAAAGGTTGCACATGGTACGCTTTCAAAAATGTCTCGTTCATGTTCAAGGATAGTCTCAACAGAGGAAGCACTTGGTCGATGTACTAGGGAGAAGATAGACATTTGGCTGATGACCTAGATGGATAAAAAATGTGGGAACAGCAGTAGGCAATAAACGTTTACGGTTCAACGTTTTAGAAAGACAATTCTTCTTAAAATGTTTCTCACACAACCTGTAATTCCGATGAAGACTGTTCACATCTATGTTACTCAAATCTTCCCTATTACAAGCTCTTAACCACATGTTGGCCCTAAAATATAAAAAAGTTGATAACAAATGTTTAGATTGACGGTAGTTCAGAAATTATATATTTTTTACATTATTTTTGTTGAAATTGTAAAAATTGTCAACAAGACATTTAAATAATAAATATTTGGTTGTCAAATAAATATTTGGTTTTCAAATATAAAAATTGAAAGTATTTTTAAGACATACCTTTCTGGCTCCATGGGAAATGCAAAATAACTTGTCCCTTTGTCTGTTTACTCTGTTTGAGATGGACAAGGGCGATAGACACATCTCTATCTTTTCTGATCAGGTGCAGAAGCCATTTCAAAAATATCACACAATAAATGAAAAACTAAAATAATAAAAATGTCTCAAAATATGCACTGCAAACAAACAAAAATTAAAAATCAAACAATCCAAATAATCTCAACAAACAACCACCATTAAACGAATGACAAATGGAATGACAGTAATGACGTATTTACATCGCATTGACACTATTGACGTTGACGTTTTTATCGCTTATTTTCAGACATGCGCAGAAAAATATAGACCCCTCATAAAAAATGATCTGTCGCTACTGTATTGTTCTTTATACTGGGGTATTAGTAACCCTAGGTAAACGAAAAATAGGATCCATAATCTTTCTAATCCCAGTAAGTTTTCGAAAACGCCTTATAAATAATGTTTGCCAGTTAGTCTTTTTATGTCATTTCACACTTTAAAGAATATGCAATTGTTTAGCTCGAGCATTAGATGCCTGTTAAAATGGAAAAATTATATAAAAATAATTGAAACAAAAAAAAAATGATTAATATAGCGTTCAAAATAGGTATGTCTTATCGGAATACCGACTAATTAATTAAAGATAAATTATGTTTATGAAACAATTTAAATATCTTTATTTCCATAGTTAAAAAGAATTTTAGATAAAAACAATCCACTTAATTGACCTGTACACGTGAAACAAATAGATTATTTTTTAAAAGTACGCATTTACCAATTGGCTACATATCGCCCCACTGCAAATGATCACAAACTGGTTCAAAGAAGATCCCTGCACCTCCTACAGGATGTCACAACGAACTTTTCGAAATTTTGAGAGGAAAGTCCTATAAAGAAAT